GATCGTTGACTGAGACCAATGTGTCAGGATGCTCGGCACCGAGGGTGCGCTCCTGACCCTCCAAAGCTCTCCTGTAGAGCGGTTCGGCCAGCCAAAAGATGAAGAACCGCTCTACAGGAGAGCTTTGGAGGCCCGTGAGCGCACCCTCAGTGCATCTTTCAGCTGGCCCATGACTTTGAGGCAACGTGCCAGATTGCTGACTGAGACCACTGTCCTAGGATGCTCGGCACCGAGGGTGCGGAGCGGTTCCGCATCTTTCAGCAGGCCCATGGCTTGCAGGCAACCTGCCAGATGGTTGACTGATAGCAATGCGTCAGGATGCTCGGCACCGAGGCGGGAAGTAGCCTCGCTTCCACAGAGCATGCCCCAAACGCTCTTTCGCAGTCTTGAGACCAGGACTCTGAGCAGCTGCTTCGCGTGCTCGGAGAGCATCTGACAGGCGAGCTCGAGCATTCTGGAAAACCACACAGCGGCGCTCTGGCTGCCCTGGCTCATTCAACAGCTTGTCACCGAGATTCATGCGCGGTGGCTTTCCCGCTGCCTGCATCTCAGGCATTGGCCTCACTGAAATGTCGTAGGCATTCTCCGGGTCGATCAGCAAAGGAATGCAGAAGGATGCACGTGGTGGATACACCCTTTTCACATACTCTTCACCATGAAGTGAGAATGCCTTGGCACCTGGCCCCCCTGACAAATCAATGGCATCTTTCCATACAACGATGCCTGTTCGAAGATGCTTCCAGGAATGGTCCAAATCCTTGCTGTCCTCGTACTCTTCACTTTGGAACTCCCCACCCTCTCGGTACAAAGATTCGAAGTAACGCTGCAAGTCGTCCACAGCGGAAGTTGCACTCATGGCTTAGCCAAAGGGCTCGATATCAAGACACATTGAATGAGCATGAATGAGCTACGGAAGCAAGTGTGAAATATGCAATTTACAGAGCTTACAGATCTCCATGCAATCACCCATAAGGGTGTGGGGCACCACATGGTTTACCATGCTCTACCGAGCTACGATAGGTACCTTATGGTACTTTGAATGCATTGGTACCTTGAATTAGCTACCTTAAAACAATTCCACCTTTAAACCAACTCCAAGCAGTGGCTTGCTATGCGTTGCTGCTGCTTCTGAAAGATGCTCCTTAATATTAGCCTGCCTCCGAGCCAAATGCACTTCCAAGCTTGGCTCTCTGCTAGGCTTCTGTCCTGGCCAATCCTTCAACCTGGATCCAGCTACCACCTCAAAATGAGTCATGCAACGGCACCTGAGGAACAGCAAAAAACAGCAGCCATGATGCGTCTGTTGAACGCAATAGGTGAACTTCTGCCTGGAGAAAACTCAAATAAATCCTGAAGCATGCTCATGAGTGTCATGGAAGCAAAATTGACCATATCAAATATCAACCAATAGTGCCCCATGGCAATGATCTACACACAGTGGGTTTTCCATGTAATTATCAACATGTTAATTGTTTGTAAGATAGTTGTGCTTCACTGACTTTTTTGTTTTCATTATTTTTTTCGACGTGTCTCTACATGTTTCGCCGTTTCGCACCGTAATACAAGAATCCCGTTCTTAACCAACCGTTGTGCCATGCTGCAACGCATGGTGCCCAGGTGCCCGCACAACGCATCACGTGCACGGTTGCCCCAGACCATGGCGATGATGGGCATCAAGGGTCTTAAGTCCCTGGCGGATGAAGCTGAAACAATGTGTTGTTGGGATGATTATATGTAGAAATATATTACCAATATTAGTATTATTGCTATTATTGTTATCATTTTATTATATAGTATTTTATTTTTAATACTATTATTGTTATTATTATTACTATTTTAATTCTATTATTATTACATAATATAAATATATATATATGTATACTCCCTATACAAAGCATTATGCCAGAGCGCAGTGAGGTCGTTATAATCTATTCAGATACGCGATATTACTGACGTTCAAACTCGGTTTTTCCTCGGGATATGCTGGGGTCTAGAATGAAGTTTTTCACCGGTGATGTACTGTTTCAACATGGGATTTCACCGACAATATTGTGTTTTACCAAGAAAGGAATTCAACCAGCAAAATCCATCAAATAATATACTGGTTGGTGGTTTCAACTCCTCTGAAAAATATGAAAGTCAGTTGAGATGATGACATTCCCAATATGGAAAAATAAAAAATGTTCCAAACCACCAACCAGATATAATTCAAATGATTATGTACCATTGATTCTGATATTACGCCAAATGACTATTGAAAAAAATGGAAAATTAATGGAGGATGAAGTGGCACATCATAATTATGATAAAGCGCTAATACTGGGAACAGGTTTCAAAATTGATGTACCATTGATTTGGAACAAATACTCAAAAAGAAATGTTATTCGACTTTAATGGTCATTATAGTTGTGATTCCAAGCTCCCCATATATTTTTTTATAGACAAGCAACAACCACCCATGCTGCGGGAAGTATGTTTTCATGGTGGGATATACAGCTCTAAGCTCCAACAAACCCTGGGATATTAACCAGCAAACTAAATGTCAAGTGATTCAGTTGACGGTAACCAACAGCCCTGGCGGCCAAAGCAAAAAAAAACAGGTTTCAACGGTATCAACCCACAAAAACAAATGTCTAACAACCACAATAAGAGGGTCTTCAGCAACAATGTTCTGCTTGTTGCTTCATCATCATCCCAAATCGTCTGAAAAAGGGTACCTCCAAAACCCCATGGAAAACATCATCAGTTTCTCCATAGAAATTGCCAGCCAAATGATCTTTGGACAACGGAGAAGGCACCCGAAGGGCAAGCGTCTGTGCTTCAGGAAGGCATAATACGCGCTGTATTGCGCTACGTCCAACCTGAGCAATGGCTCAATGGCTGAGGTGAAATGCTACTGTTTGGCACTGGTATTTGAGATCGATATGCCTGTCATATGGCGAATGAGAGATACTCCCGCGTAGTTTTTTTTGCAGGTAAGGCATTGCAATATTGTAATGTATGTCAAGTCATGGGCTACAACACAATGCAACGCAATGCAATACAATGTAGTGTAACGTAGCGCAATGTAATGAATTAGTAATGGTATGTTATGATTATATAATATAATGTAATGCCCACTTGGGCTCAAATATGCAGCAAGCAAGGTGAGACAAGCATGTTTGGACATAGTCTTATGCATGCCTGGCTACGGGCAACATTGCCCACTAAATATCGCCAAAGATAAACCTGAAATGCCCTGAAAGTCCTGGAATGAGCGTGAAGTTTTCTCCAGTCTCCATCAAGTCGATAATATCCTTCCTCTCGTAGATCCAAAAGCCTCATCGGTGGAAAACATGGAGCTCGATGAGGACCAGCAAAAAGTATCTCAGATTTGTCCGGTGGCCAATTCCTGACCTTCAGAGGTCCACCGAACGCCATCTTAAGACCAGGCTTGACATGCTACGCTGGCGGCATTGCATATGCTTCGGCAGACAATGCCTCAGCAGGTTTTGCACCTGGAATCTCCCCATGAAAAGCATCAGCCTCGGCGCAGACATGGAGCACATCCTGCGGAATAATTCCTGGACTTTGGCGGTTCAGACCTGGCTTTGTAGCTTTGCATGTCAGCCTAAATGCCGTTTCACTACGTATTTTCCTTTGGGGTTTCTTTTAGAAAGAAACATATGAATCATATGAAACCATTTCTTGGCTTGCAAATTTGGAAAAACTGATTTATGTTTACACTATTTCAATATGACTTTGAGATGGTTGTTCAATGACCAATTTAAAATGCGAATATGCTCATGATGTCTTTATGATTCTTTGCCCGGCCCCACATTCTCTTACACAGAACAGAAAACAATCGTTAAATCATCGTGTTGTTGTAACATGTTTTTTTACGACTGTCTAAGACTTTGCATGATTAACTTACAATTATATTGTCTGTGTGTTATGATCAGATTATGTGTATGGCCACCCGTCTTTGATGATCTTTGGGGGTTTTCCCAAGAATTTCATGGACATTCGAACCTGATCCATACTGACACTGATGGCTGGGGTGATTCGCCACTTGGAGGACCCCCATCTATGGATGATTTTTATAAGCCTAATGTCAGAGGCCTTATTATCTTAATTACCCTCCGGTAATTTAACATCGCTATTGAAAATTGCCATAGAAATAGTTGATTTACCATGATTTACCCATGAAAATAATGGTGGATTTTCAGTTCGCTACGTTAGTTTACCAGAGCGTATCCCATTCAGAGGCCTCCCATTCAGTATGCTTAGTGGGTTGGATGATCCTCCAATCCTAAGCCTTTCCTCGCCACGCCTTAGATCGCCGATTCGGATTAGGCCTCCGCACGCGCTGACACCCATCTCCTAGGGCGTAAGTGGTAGGGACCCATCTTTCGAAAAGGGTCATGAAAATTCATGTTTTTTTGGGGTTCAATCGCATATTTCAATTTGTGCATCACGCATTTAACGCATTTTGATGGTTATATCATGTTAAATCACCATTTCTGGTGGTTATTTCTGTTTTTCCTCAGTTATTCCCAATAATTGCGATTCATGTGGCATCATCATCATCATCATCATCATCACCACCACCACCATCATCATCACAAATTCACAAATTCACAAATCATCATAATCATCATAATTATCATATTCATCATATTCATCATCATCATCATCAATCACCACCACAACCATCATCATCACAAATTCACAAATTCACAAATCATCATAATCATCATATTCATCATAATAATAATCATCATCATCAGCATCATCGGCATCATCAGCACCACCATCATCATCACACATTTACAAATCACAATCATCGTAATCATCGTAATCATCGTAATCATCGTAATCATCATCATCATCATCATCATCATAATCATCATCATCATCGCAGTGAGTCATCAGATTAACAGATCATTCTCACATTACCATTATCATATGTTTACATTCACATTCCACATCATTGACATGATATGCGCGGCCCGCTGCGGCTGCCACTGCCACTGACCGCTGGCCTCCAAGAAGTCATCCTGATGACACCGCTGGAGGTACCCCACAAAGTCTAGCAAGTCCTCTGTTGGCTCTCCTGCTCCGAAACTTTCGAGCCCAGATCTGCCTCAAGCCCCGCTTCCATCAGCAAGTACTGGCAGTAGACCTGAAACTTGTTGTGCTTCGCAGCGCATCTTCAATGTGACTTTCCACGTGTGTCATGGGATTCGTGTGGCATCATCATCATCATCATCCCATGATGCCATGACGTCCGAATCCTGAAGGCTTCATAAAGTGGATGGTGATGGATGATGCCTAGGATCCCTAGGAAAATGTAGCTTTGACGATGGCACACAGCCGGGCCATGAATCGCAACCAGATCATGGCTGAGCCCAGCCCTAGGGCGCCCATGAAAAAAGACTGGGACTGGTAAAGGTTGGTATCCCGCAATTTTTACCCTCTGGTAAACCAACATCACTACTGAACATCGCCATTTGGCTTGGTAAATAATGTAGAAGTATGTATATATATATATATATTATATTAAATTAAATTTTATATTATATTAATTATATTATATTATATTATATCATATTTTATTTTATTATCTTATATTATATTATATTTTATTGTATTATATTACCTTATATTATATTATATTATATTACATTATATTTTATTATATTATATTATATTTTATTATATTTTATTGTATTATATTACCTTATATTATATTATTTTGTATTATATTATATTTTATTATATTATATTATATATATATTATAATTGTATTATATTATGTTATATTTTATGATTCATTATAACATATTATATCATATTACACTATATTATATTATATATTTTATTAAATTAAATATTAAATATTACATCATATTAAATATTTTGCATTATATAATATAATATTATATTATATAATATAATATTATATTATATTATAATATATTATATTATATTGTAATATATTATATTATTATATAATATATTATATTATATTATACTATATTAAATTATATTACATATATGCACCATGTTCATCCATTTTCCACAGCAAACTGTGGCTTTACCGGAGGGCATGCATTAGCTGTTGATCCCCATGGTGGCATACCATAAGCCATTCAACTTCAACACGGGCCATTCAAGGCCCAGTTCTCGGATGAATCGTCAAATCTTCGTCGCCATTCTCAATCCGCAATATTTCTTCATCGCCAATGGATCATGAAATGTTGTTAATGTTGCTAACCACAACAAATTCTGGTAGCTTAGTAGGCTTAATATGGCTTAAGAACTGAAAAATCCAAAAATTGAATACCCATCGGTTGATGATGAATCATCAACAACAGCATACATCAGCCAACAACTGATTCCTATGGATTGATATAATTACCACCATCCCCAAAATTGGATTAGCCTCTGGTAAACATTCACAGTTTGCGACATTGAAAATGGCCATTTCGAAATAGTTGATTTAGCCATGAAAAAGATGGTGATTTTCCAGTTCGCTACGTTACTTTACCACAGGGTAAAGGGTAAATTTAGGGATGCCGGATCCAATATATCATAATTATGTTATATTACCATAATATAATATAACATAATTATAATACATTCATAATTATCATAATATAATATATATCAACTTCACTAACCTTAGCCACAAAAATTACCCCATCACCGCTGCGAAACGACGACAAATTCGCCTGCAGCTCCAGTGGGGGTCGCATCATCGGAACCAGACTCCAGTCCTGGGAACCGTTCAATGACCAGCAATGACCAGCAATGACCAGTTACTATGGCATTTTACGATGGTCTAATAAATGTTTCATAGGGATAATCATGGAATTATGATCTGCTTGGTGGTTGAGCCCTACCCCTCTGAAAAATGATGGAGTTCGTCAATTGGGATCAGTTGCAAAATTCCCAATATATAATCAATACATGGAAAACTCATCCATTCATGTTCCCAACCACCAACCAGTTATGGAATCATAGTTCCGGGTAAATTGTAATATTTCACTAACCTGAATTAAGGCCATTTGGGGATGATTTCCCTTATTAGCCATGATTCCCAGGGTTCGGTCGCAGTGAGGTCGTTATAATTTGCCCAGATAGTTGGTGAATATCATGTGGAATTCACCCAATGCCGCAATGCCATAAACCGACCATTGGGGATTGGAACCGGTTTTGGGTTCTACCACCCTGTTTTGAGATTGCTGATGACTTGGGGATGGTTTATGAAATTGGGGTTGCCACATTATTTAAGATTGAACATTCAAGATAGGAACAAAACAATGGGATTTGGGGGTAAGATGTAGATGAATTTAACAATCGACTCGATAGTGACACTGAAATCCTACTGCTTGTTGCTTAGATACATCTTTCTCTTGTCCCTTGTCATTATCCTTGTCACTTGTCCATCTTGAAAATCACAAATTATTGCTGGTTGGTGGTTTCAACCCCTCTGAAAAATATTAGTCAATGGGGAAGATTATCCCATTTATTATGGAAAATAAAAAATGTGCCAAACCACCAACCAGATTGTTACTGAAGGGCTACTTTGATGTGCCTCCAAGGAATAGGTGCATGACTGTGGCAGTTGTAGCTGCCGTCATGACTCAGCTGATGCCACCAGGCAGATCTACATGGGTGTGTCTGGAAGTCGGGATTGATCCGGACCACGTGCCATTTACTACGGAACAGGATGGTAAACCACGAAATTGCGTGTTTACCCTCTGGTAATTTAACAGTTTGCTATTGAAAATGGCCCATAGAAATAGTTGATGTACCTATTAAAGATGATGATTTTCCATAGCTATGTTAGTTTACCAGAGGGTATCTCATGCAGAAAAGCAATTTCCCCGTTGTTGAATCATATCAACCTACCCATGGACGGTTTACAGCCCCCAAAAAGATGGAGTAAATTCCTGCTTACACTCCAGTAAACTGACATAGCTATGGAAGATCACTTTGCTTTTGAATAGGCAAATCATCGAAAATGTGCATGTTTTTCAATAGCTATCATTCACTAAATTTCCCAGCAATGACCAGCCTTGCTGTTACTTACATCCCATTATATACATCCCAGCATTTCTATGCAAATCCCCATGACTCATGAATCGTGGATATCACGACATTACGTTGGGGAACATGAATCATTTGACCAGCCTTGTTGCTATATCCCATTATATGCCATTATTATACCCATAAAAGTAAGCTCAACTGCACCCCATGCAGCATGATGTCCCAACCTGACTGGCCGCCACGTGAAGTGCCATGCGATGGCTCAAGATCTGGCGAACCGCAAAAAAAAACCGCCGAGCCGTACCGAATCTGGATTGGTTTAAGGGAACATCTGCAGGAAATGGTCACATTTTTTCCATGGTGAAAACCTCCCAAATGTAGGGTGGAAAGCTGGAGATGCTCGCATTAACCAACGGGATCTAAATCTGAATTTCTAGCAGCAAAGATTTTTGTTGGATGATTTGGCAGTTCCATTTGTCCAGAAATGCTGGAGATATACACAAAACATGTGTAAATATACCCTCTGGTTATGACTAACATAGCCATGGAAAATCGCCATTTTTAATAGGTAAACCCAGGTCCCAGGTAAACCATCTATAAATGGGCCATTTTCCATGGCTATGTTAAATAACCAGAGGGTATATAGGATACAACATGGATCAATTGATGCCGCCAAAATCCCAACTCTTCTTGGTTATCTCATGGCAAATCCCCTGAAAAACCGCACCGCCATCATCGTCTCGGGCGACATCTGGCGCTTGGCAAAGTGCTCGGTGAGGCACAAACCGGTGATCCTCGGTGGTGCTGGGCGAATGTTGGGAGAATTCTGCGGCTTTTTTTCTGGGCACATAGGAATTTCTAGCAGGTTGCTGTATCCAAACAATGGCTGAGACCCTAAAATCAACAGGGATACGGTGGAGGAGGTCGACCTTTTTGACTGGTACCATCCCCAAAATAATCCACCATTTTTAGAGGAAAGTAGTATTCCAGCTCCACATCTGGCAGGGTCTATGTTAGTGACTGGGGAGATGGTTGACATTTTTTTGAGGGGAAATGAGTTTCCCTATCATTTATGGGGAGGCCGTTGCAAGGTCGGTTTCATTTTCCAACATACAATAGGTGGCAGAGAACAAACTGCATCACTCCAGAGCAATGGAGATACGATGAGATACGCCATTTCTATGCTGCACATACTCAGACAAAAAACACATATCAAGGAGATTCAAGAAGTAAGGATTCCAACATATATCATTCCCCATAGTATTCGTAATCATATATCTAGTTGCAGTAATTCCAAGAAGTATGATCTATTCATATCTATTCCATATTAGAAGTAAGGAATCACATATCAATTCTTCAATTATTCCAAAAGATCATCGCCGAGTTGGATTCCTCAATTGCTAGCAGTCAACGCTCGCATTTTTTTTTCTTCGCCATAGGTCACATTCCTCGCAATCTGCAAGAGTTTGATCTGGGCCGCGGAGGACCCGATCTAGGGATGTCTGAGTCATTGTTCTATATCTATAATTGTAATATACATGGCCATAATATGTATACTATATGTATACTATATATATATACCCTATAAGTCTAAGGCTATTTTTTAAATAGCCTTTACTAACGACCATTGTTTGTAACTTTAGGGGACTCCAGTGGGTTCAGCGGTGCCATTGCCTGTGACAACTAAGGTCCGCAGCTGTTTTATCAAATTCAGAGCCTTGCTGATTGTATATCTACTAAGTTGGATAAAATATCACATGATTCTTGAATACCCCATGGTCCCTCAAAGTGATCCCATACTTCAATGGTTTTATCACTCATCTTGCCTCGCTCAGCCATGGCACTGGATTGAAGGGTTCTTGCCTTATCAATGGATCCTTGGACTTAACTTGCCCAAACAGAAATATCTTGCACTTTCACGATTTCAAAATTGAAATTCATACGTCGTGTTAGGAAATACTTCCATGGCCCAGACTTCATTCATTCTTGGCCCAGCCCTTATTGCCCAGGATAGGAAAACTGTACTGCTATTGCTACTGCTTGGGTGCCTTGAACGATTGGCATTGCAGCTTCGTGGCTGGAAGAGACATGTTTGGGTTTACATGCCTTTGCACTGCAATACCAAGAGTTCAAAATAACTTTTTTCATGGCTACCATTGTACTAAAGTGCTTCCATACGCATCTTATCTTACTAAGAAGGTTGCTCACTCGGCACCCTGCCCCAGGTTACAAACACAAAGCTGCGCCATGAAAAGAGCTGTGCTTCTGGGCCTTTCAGCTGCATTTGATTGATTGGCTAGTTGGATACACTGGGGGGCAGTCGGACTTCACAATAGTCAGAAATTTCTTTCGTCAATCCTGACAATATGTGTTATTTGATTTTCCCCGCCCTGACCTCACACTCATGTAGTTCTTTTTGTCTGCGGCGCTACAAGGTCACCAAGACTCGGAAGAGGACACCATGTCTGAAGGACATGGTGATGAAGTGCAGGGCAGGGATTGCGAGCAATCTGGTGCCCCCTCCCTTGCCTTGCGCATGTCACATCTGGCAAGCATCGTTTCATTGACATATGTTGCCATCTTGCCTTTCTAAACCAGTTGCACAATGGCAATGTCATGCATTTGATTGGATAAGGCCTATTTGGGCTCAGCCTAGTACCAGCGCAAGGGGAACAGGGGCTGAACTGGGAATATGTCAGCTTCCAAATATTTGGGCCGCAAAGCCCGGATGGACCCTGATCGAATGAAGGAGTTGAAGGCCACAAAGGGAAATTCATGAAGAACTATTTGGATTCAACGTTCCATTTAAAAAATGTAGTTTAGTAAAACTTTCCGGTTCATATTTTAGAAGTAGCAGCGAGGGATTCCCAACCACTGCAGACTGATTGGCCTCATGACCCTTGTAAGCCTGATCATGTTCAGGTCTTCTACGCCGACTTCGTCACACCAGAGAATCTCAAACAGCGCAGAAAGGAGCTGAAGGAGAATCCACACCGGAGATCTAAGGCCCCGGGGGATGGGAAGTTTTTTTGTGTGTGTGTGGACTAATGCTGGCCCATAGTGCCATACAATAAACAAAAGGTTTCCAATCTGATGGCCCTGATGGCTGTCTTGGAAGAATAACATATTTTGTTTTGAGGTCAGCAGCTCAAGACTAGGAGTGTCATTTGTTGGCGATTCATTCGCCATAAATTGCTTGCACAGGTGTTTAGCTTCGTCGACATCAACGCTGGCAAGATCGGCGAGGACGAGGCAAGCCGATCTTATTCGTCCAACACACATACACACACACCATATATGGTGCAAATGTTTTGAAGATCTAAGATCACCTTTTTTATTTACTACAATGTCTTATATTGAATATGTTGTTTACATAAGTATGCCTAGTGTGCAAAAGTGTGAGAACTCTTTGCATGGATAAAAAAATTGTTGGATCATATTATCTCCAAAGACCAGCTTGCCTCTTCTGCGATCTGGGCATGGGTCTTCTGCCGGCTAGGTGGAACTGGAAGCCAATTTCCATTTCACCCTGGGTTTCATCGCTTCCTTTGCGCACTGCATCCCTCCGCAGATAGAAGTGGAGGACAACTGAATGCACATGCATGCAGATTTTATTCAATCCATTAGATGATTCACAGATTAATGGCTCCCATAAAAAAATGCACTACTTAATCCAACCAGAACACATCAATGATTCCCAAAATCGCTTTGGCTTGTGAAGGAATGCCTCTTTGGATTGTCCTTGGAGTACCGGTTGAACGATCATTTCAAGACCCGGGGCCAGCACCGCGCGAGGGGCTCAACTATCGCAGCTCCATCCCCCTTAAACAAACTTTCTAAATTTGATACAGCTTTTAGGGCTTTTGAATAAATTCGAGATCCAACTCCGATGCACAATGTTCACAAGTAATCTTTATCTTTCTTATAGGGGGATGGATTGGACAGTCATGCGCATCAGATCATCTCGGCAACTTGTCAAGCTCTTCTTGCAACCATTGCCCAGGCCTGGGCACGCACAGAAGCAGGCTTGCATCGAGCCCTTGGGGCTTACATCCTCAACCGGAATCAGCGCAACCAAGCGTGCAGGAGTGGCCAGAAAAAAATATATAGAGTTGGTGACGTCTAGGACTTTTCCTGATCTATATTACCTAATTTCAGAGTGAAAATTATACTATTCTCTTCTTGGGTATCAGATTTTCTCTTCGATCTGACATCAAGTTGCTGTAACTGCCTTTATTTTGACGTATCCCATCTTTAGCACTGTCAACCATCACCAGGAAAGGAAGAGAGCGCATGGAGACTTTGAAGCAAGTTGCACGAGCTCGCTTGGAGGCAATTTTGTCAGATACATGTGGTTTTTAGACAGCTGTGACAAAAAATATGCCTGGCTTCTTTCCTGGTTATGGGTCCCATTCTCATTTCATTACTGTTGTGTTGGGATGCATGCCAACAGGTTCGAACTGGATATCCTTTGATTCATGCAGTAGAGTCTCACACCTGGACACCTAAAAAAAACCTGGCTGGTATGTATATTATATCAGATAGTTATTTGTGCAGGATCATGGTCTCCTTGAGAATGGCAAGAAGAAACCTACAAGGGGGAAGAACGCCGCTGCTGCTCGAGAGGCTCCACACGTGTAGTCATCGCCCACAATCAAAGTGCGGAATTGCAATTGCAAATTGCAGGAACAATACCTTAGTATCTTAGTAGGCATTGCAAAAAGACTTGGGTGCCTTTCTCCATTCTGTACGTGACAAGTGTTGTGGTCGGATGGTCACTTTCGTGTGTGTGTGTGCCTGTGTGTACACGCGTGTAATTGGCAGTGTGATATCAGTGAGTCAAGTACTGGACAAAATGGGGTCAAAAAAACATGTAATTTATTTCGTTTTAGTTCCAAGGCTCAGGCTACACATTACAAATCTTCGGTTTATATTTGGAAAGTGAGGATTATGCACAATAAACTGATGTAACCCTCGACAGGCTGAGAAGAAGGAAGCTGAAAGCGCTACAGGTTCGGCTGGTGACACGGCTGACACGCTGCCAATGCCCGATGATCACCACCAACAAATTTTGGACCACATGCTTGACGAAGAAGAACTAGAGGCTGAGGAGATGTTTGATTTTATCATCAACGGATCCCAGGCTGAGGGGGGGGAAGAAGAGGAGCGAGAACATGATGAGGTTGTGGAGGCTGTGGTCGATCATGAGGACTCCAACAATTATGCTGATGTAGGAGATGATGATGACAATGATGCTATGACCCCCGCACAGAGCAAAGAAGCAGCGGCAGCAAAGACCCCTCCCAAAGTTCCCAAGAAGCAGGCTGCACGCAGCAAGGCCGAGGCCACAGAACTTGCTGCGCCCCAGCCGGACGATGAGGCTGAGGAGGTCGCAAGTGATGGTGATGGTGAGGGTGACGGACAAACTTCCAAGGGAACACACAAGGACCCAACAATTCTGTTAATGCCGCTTTTCGTGTTTGTGTTACGCATGGGTCTCGAAAGTGCAAGCATGCATGTGTCCGTTGTTCCAGGCTTCTTGTCTTAGACCTTTAACTCTCATTAGAGGCATTTTTCAGGTGGCAGGAAATTGTGTTGGCCCGAAGTTCGCCATTGCCCAAAGTCCCACTTTCAGATTTACTTTGGTTTACATTTTTAATCCTAAGCATGAGGGATGGGTTTTTTAGCCCATGAGAGAACACAAGTCTCGCAAAATGTGCATGCATGCATGCACACCATCGATGGGCAGGACACCAAAGCTCTGACGCAGTTGCCTAGCCTTCCTCCCCAGACAAGCTTGGATCAAGCAGAGAAAGTTTGCGCCAGCTTGGAGTCTGATTCCCAAGCAGACTTGTTGAAGGCCTGCTTGGGGCTGTTGGTTTTGCGACTCTTTTCGAAACCTGTCTCGACATGCTGAATTTAATGAACAAATTCAATATCCGACATAGTCAACTAATTCTTCGAGAAAAAAAACAGACCCCTCCAGCTGATTCCCTTCAGCCCATCTAGGCGCAAAGGAAGGTGCGACAGTCTGTCAGAGCGTCTTTGGCCGGCGATGGGGATGAAGACGAAGAGGAGGACCGGGACAGAAAATTGAAGGAAGAGATCGAGGCCAATGAGGGTGGGACAAAGGGAAAAGGCAAAGGGCGTGGTAGGGGTCGAGGGCTGAAGCGACCTGCAGCTGCGATCAAAACTGATGCTGCGGCCCCACAGAGCTCCAAGAAAACAGAACCTTCTGGTGATGAGTGTGAGGATGACATCCCCGCAACCCAGCCAGATTCTGACGAGCCTGACCAAGTTGATGTTCCTGAGGTTCCGCCCAAAAAAAAGAAAACCCAGGGAAAGAGTCCGTTGGCATCCCCCAAGCCTGCCCCTGCTTCGAAGAAAAAGGATACCAAGAATGCCAAGACCAGTAAGCCGTCCATCAAGGCTCCCAAGAAAGCAAGCCCGAAAAGTAAGAACGCAGCCGCAAAGAAGAAGCCTTCAAAGCGTACACTGGAGGAACTGAAGCAGTATGTTTTGCGCTTGTGGATGCATGTGCACATTACATTATATTACCATGTATATCATGCATGTGCGCGCTGAAAGTTCATCATGATAACAGCCAGAGTGCAAAGTGATCAAAAGATTTTGACCATGGTATGACACTGAAAGGTGTGTGTGATGATAGAATGTCCAAAAGAGCGATAAAGAAAGAGGCACAGAGATATGATATGAAAAGGGCTGTCTTGCTATCAAGCTACGCAGTAATATCATAATTATATCCTTTCAAATCTCGTCACACATACCTCGATTCGACTTTGTTAAGTTCTCCCTTTGGTAAAACTCATCCAAATTTAGGTCCCCACCTTTCAGAATGTTTTTTTTATTCTCAATGTGTTCTGTTGGCAGGAGGAAGGGGATGGCACCGACACCTCTGATGCGATCAAGAAGTTCAAAGCCGTGCTGCCTCTTCCAGAGCTGCATCTGCCAGCAAACTGGGAGACGCGCAAGCCAAATCCTCAGACCGATGAGGGCCCATTGTTTTGTGAAGTGTGGCCCATTTCTCTTCAGCATGGCCACGTTTCAATGATTTTCTTCACCTGTTTGAATATGGAAGTAGAATGTCTGCCATGAAACACGTTTTTTCATGCACAGGACACATGCATGCATGCATGTCATGCATATATAAGTTTCCATGCTGCCTTGTGATGATGTCAAAAAATGCGCCGGTGCATGCATGATCGTGTCCACATGATTGTGCAGAGTTGCAACTGCTTCCCATCAATCCGATAGTCAAGGACTTTGACCGTGCAAGCCTCGCCTGAAATCCAAGAAGCCAGCTCTTACAAGTTGAGCACGATCGGGATTTCGTTTTTTCCTCAGGCCAACAGCTTGATGCAGACTTGAGCGCTCACAGGTATATATGCAGCATGTAGTTTCTAGTCCTTTGCGCCATGACTGGCTCTGGTCCCATGAGTGGAAACTTATCCATCCAAACATTTGTCCCAAAAGGTTCCAGCTATGTTGTGTTGCCAAGGTTTCTGGCAGGAAGCTTCTATGTTTCCCCTGTGGAGACTGATTTCATTGGCAAGTTGAATGGCGAACTTGAAGAATTTCCCGATCTGAAGGCAGGGTGCCTCAGATTGTATTGTATGGCAGAAAATTGCTATCAGGCATGAAAAAACCATACTAAAGTAAAGCCTTGGGAAAATGCTGTACAAGATTGCGCCCACCTGGCATGCATCAAGTAACATTCTATTGAATTCACACATGCATCAGATCCTATTGATGCATGGTTTTTCTTGGGCTCTGCATCAGGTCAACCGAAAGAAAGGATGCACCATTTCTTGGAATCGTTTCTCAACTCCAGATACTGCGTTTGAATCCCAGCTCTGCAAGGAAACCAAACCAACCACGGATTTCAAGAATGAGTTCAAAAACTGGGTAGGATGTTCATTTACACATGATGGAAGCGTTGAAGGTATTAACCCTGCCTCCCATCCCCCATCTCGAAACACACTATATCCCATTTATGCCAGGGCACCCAAGTGGTTGTTTCCGATCCGAGGTGGGATGTTGCGCTCCTTGCTGCAGGGTGGCGCGAGCTGGAATCTGAGGAAGAATCTGGTGACTGATACAAGCCAGTTAGTTCAACGTCGCTGTGATCAACTGGGCCACATAATCTTTTTTTGAGGGAGCCATTCCAAGTCTATGTTGCTTCTCCCCACTCAAAAACCATGGTGTCAGTGTCAGTCCAGTAGAGCATGTAGCGCAACTTGTCCAATCGAATTTCCTTCATGACATGTTTGTATAACTTCTCCTATTTTCTCCTATATCCTCGGAAGAGTGAGGATAGCAATTTTTGAAGGAATGCTCCAGCTGAGTGGTTCAACGACCAAGGTGGCTAGACTGTTCGACCAACAACGTATGCTAGAGACCTTTCTCACGCTGCATTAGGAACCAGTTGCAGGGTGTGCGCGGTTTCTCGCTGGACCAGAGTCGACTGAACAATCGATGGGGATCGACAAAAAATCATTTTGCTGGACAAGTTTATGCTGTGAACATGTCGTGGAGTCAAGCTTGGGCTTGCCACGGTTCAATCATTCTAAAGTCTGCAGGCGCAACAGGCAAAACAAAATTAGCACCCACACGCACGCACACACAGTGGGCTGACATGTTATATTGCTATGCTGGGTCCAATCCTCAGATATTTTTGCTCAGGCCTGATATCATTTCTACTGTTTCCTCCATTCTTGAAGTATTGATTTCACTGAGCTATGGTGCGTGGTGGGAGGGATGAGTGGCGAAAGTCACCGCTGTGCATGTCCACCAACGCTGCACGCATGCTTCTTTTTCTGGGCATCCCGGTTCTCATGTTCCTTGGTTTATCTCAATGGCAGCTATCACATGTCATCTGGTACATGATGTGAATCATGAAGATTATGTTCCTAGCGTGTGGGCATCTGCGGGACACCAAGGTTGCACGTGACGGATTATGTAGCCCAAAATACGGATCCGCTTGGTGATGCTGCCCAACGCGTTGGGATCCCGGAACTCTGTGGGCGCAATGGTTTTTCAAAGATGATTGCCAGAAAAAAACAATTCACCTGCAAGCGCAAATCACACTTGCAGCTTTGATCCATTAAAAGTATTAATTAGTTGGATGGACAAATCCATTCTTTGGATCCTAGGTGTCAACCGTCATGGACGCGTTCTGTGGTGAACGTTCGGTTCACCGAGGGTTTTGCGGAGGCCTCAATGTATGATAGGCCAAATCTGTTTTTCTCGTTTGAACTTGTGTTCCAACAAAATTCATCCGGGTGACCAGTCAGGTGGGGGATCAACAAACAACCTAAAGCATGGGTCCAGCCAAGATTCATCACTGAGGTCAAGCTGGCCATGCAGGGTCAGTGCCCCAGATTCAATTGCCAGGACATCCACATAGTTGCCATTGCCTTGATGGCTTCAAAGAGAAATGGACCCATGGTAGGAATCAAAATGTAATTTTTGACCATCAAAACGACGAACAATAGCATATTTTACGTTAAAGAAATCATGTTTGGAATGGCATTTTGAAACCAAATGTCTCACCCAGGGAAGTGTTCGACACGTGCGTAGATGCGATGCACGACCTACTCTCAGTGTGTCTTGTCAAATCTTCAATATCTGTTCATGCTAAGAAAACTCCTGTGACAAAAACTTGATGAAATTGATTGAAATTGACTCTTTTTCTGGCCTGCCGAAACAAATTTATCAACAGCAACCAAGGGAAGGATTCATGCGTGCAACGCAAAAGCTGCTGCGGGTCCAGGAAGGGGGCCTCCTCCATGGAGGACCTCCCTGTTCGAGCTTCGTGTGGGTGAATGCTGGAACATCCCGGCGTTCATCTACTTGCCCAGAAGGAGACCCCAAACAAAAATCGGTACGAAAAGCAAACGAGACTCTAGGTTGGAAGAGACGAATTGTGATTCTTTGGTTTTCCCCTTCATTTTTTGTAACTTCTTTACATGGTATTAAAGGACATTTTGAACACTCAGGATACAGTGCTCAACATGGCATTGCCATTTAGATGTGGTATTCATCACTTCCCAACCTGTTAGTGGTGGCTTTCTGTCGTCAGCCAAGGATCCTAGCACGCTTCTGCCTGCTGGTAGGGGTGGCAATAGCAAGATGTATATACGTGGCCATAGAGCAGCCACGTAGCTCTGTGATGCCCAAAATGAAGTTCTTCCGAGTCTTCGAGACACAACTCAAAGGACTACTGCATTGGAACTTTTGCAACTTGCGGGGGTCTCAACCATTTCTTACAACACATGTTGTGGTGTGATTCAGTTGCCACCTTTATTACATGCCCTTGCCATGCAGAAATCACAGCCTCCAAATCCCAGCCCCGGCCGAGTCACATGGCATGCTTTGGAGCGAACACGGCCAAGCCCACGAAGGTCTTTGGAACAATGCCATATCCTCAGCTGTCACAACTGTGCGCTCCATCCAGGCAAGCAGGATAGGCAAACCTGTGTGACATAGTGCCAAGTGAACTGGCCTGAACTTATTCATTGCATTTTTGGCGCTAGCAACCATGTCAAAATCATAATTTACAATTCAATTGAGTTCCAAGGTTTTGTAAGTTTTTTCTTTCAACTGTTGACTTTTGATTTCCATTCATGCCACCCCATGTGTCATGAGCTTTGCCTATGTTATGCCCCTGCTTCTGAGTCCTTGGATCAAATCGTTGTACAAAAAGTACACCCAGAAGGAGCGTCGCCGTGTGGCTTTGAAACGAATCCAACTTGTGAAGAAATACCAATCTTCAGATGGAAGAGTTCGAGTGTCATGTGCTTAGTTCAGTACACATGACACATGCGTGATTGAGTTTTCAAATGCCAATTTTGAACGCCAGGCTCAAATAGGGATTGGGTATTGGTGACTCCATGTGACCCCCGATGTTCTATCGCATTTCCAATGCATTTAAGGTGCGGCACAAAGCTCTTGAAGCGATCCCAAGTCTATCCCAAGGGGTATGGACAAAAGGTGGCCAAGTTTCATCTCAAGCACAAGGTTTCATGACTGCAAATACATGCCTTGAGGTGTCAATTTGAAAAGTCATTGGAACAAGTCTTAAATTGAATCGCAGGTATGTTTGATCCCCACCTGGACCATGCCATTCCCAATTCAGGCAGAGAACCCGGCTGAGCCACGAGATTCCCTCTTCACCAACAACAGGGAGCTGCCGAGTATCAAGCATCTCCTCTCCCAGGCACCACCATCCTGAGAACCGTTTGTGAGATCAGTGTGACTGGGATCTAGAAGTTGTGGAAATCATTGATGATATGGACTTATCGCTCCATTAACATTGGCAATCAAATGCAAAGGTATCACACTTCCCATGCATGATGGATGGTACACTATGCTTCCTCCTATACTAGCTTTGTATTCCCTTTCGTCCAGTCCAGGCCACCCATGCCCGAATTTGGAGAATGGCGAACCTCCAACCAATCCGTGAGTTTCTCAAACAGGAGATCAAAGCTGGACGCTACCGTCCGGTATGGGGGGAACTGTGAACTGTCAGGCCCCAACCACATGTGTGATGGACACCTGTGGCAAGCTTGCCAATTAATTTAGAATGCAGTTCGCTTGGAGCTCCCAAACCGCAGTGTAAACACCATGTCCTGACCTGTCATGAAAACTAAACTGCTGGTATATACGGATTCAAAAAAGTCATGGATTTGATAGAGGTAGCTCCAAGCTTACATGACTACGTACTGTTGTGACAGTTTGCAATTTCCGCAAAATGCTGGCAATGTGGGATGTAAACTTGAAAATCATGTGGAAAGAGGAAAAAAATCCGAAACAGCGTGGTTCCGCGTGGAACGCCCGTTTTTTGACGTGGAACGGCTATTTTTTGACGTGGTTCCAGCGTGGTTCCAGCGTGGTTCCCCACACCAAGAAATCAAATTCCAGTTTGGGGAAATTTGGAGAGTTGAGAACGTTTTGGGGCCCCAAGTGAAATGTTGTACCATGGATCGCCAGTCATTGCAGCTCATGTCCATTTTCTCATTGGCATCGATGGAAAGGAAAATCAATAATATGGAATATTAAACCGCTTTTTGGCACAGACCAGCAGCCTGTGTGGTGACAGTTAGTGTGAGCTGGGTGTGGTGTGCCCAAACCCAAAGGTGAGGGATTATGGACGCAGTGGCAGCTGCCCTTGCTGCTGCAAAGATGCGATGGGAGAAAGCCAAAGCGCTGACCAGTGCCAGCGCTCCCAAGACCCCGCCACCGAAGCCTGGGGCCAGCAGGAGCTTCTCACGAGGCCAGGGCTGTGGCTGGGATCTTTTCTTGGTTTTCTTACTGATCTGGTCTCGCCAACATACACTTGAGGTGGGCTACAATTTGTCACATTCACCGGAATGAGAATCCAACAAGCCCCTCTATAAATGGAGACAAGATGCTGTCAATCTTTGTTATGAAAAAATGGTCACATTTTTTTACAGTGGGAGCGCCATGTGATAGGTGTGTATCTCGGTAGAATCAGGCAAACGGTTTCTACCTGCTTTTCTACCTGCGTGTACTCGCATGCATGAAGAACAACTGCATGGTGGCTTAAAGACACTGGATTGAACAAACATGAGGCTCATTTTGTGCAGCTTATGTCCCATCCCTTTCCTCTCTGTTCGCTGGGGTGGAACAACCTGGCATGGGTGCAGGATCTACCTCTGGTTCTTGGACCGTTGACTCAACCGAGGACAGCCAGGTGCTTGTGAGAAAGGATGGGAAACAAGGTTATGTGAAAGGGACACCGCCAAACAAGGTCAAGAAGAGCAAGGGATCGTCGCCAGAAACAAGTAGTGGTTCAAAAGCAGATTCAACTACTGCAACCTTTGGAGACCGAAGTTCAGCGAGCCAAGCCGCACATGCGACAAAAGTACCAAAGTTGACCAGGAGAAGGTTGTTCAGGCCGACTGACCAGGAACAGGAGGTCGACAACACAGCAAAGGACAAAGGAAAGCCATCAGAAGATGCTGACCAACCCAGCCGAAAAGTACCCAAGGTTTCTGTGCCTTCTGCTGCCAAGAGCAAGGCGGCACCGTCCAAGCCCAAGAAGGCCACTCCGGCACCGTGTCCACAGACCCGCCCGGGTGTGAAGAAGAGTGGTTCTACTCAGGATGCTGGTGATCAATCTGATGGCGGTGATGATGCTGCAGCACCTTCAGGTTCTGAACCGGCCCCTGAAGGCACCAAGGCTGTGAAGACAAAGGACGATCAGGGAGGTTCTCTGTCTGATGCCCTCAACCGAGCCGGGACAGCAGAAAAGCTTGTTGAGAAGGACGCAGATGCACGAGCAGCGAAGAAGAAGAAGAAGAAGCATGAGAACCGTGACAAAGAAACCCACAATCGCAAGATGCGTTTTTACAGGAGTCTGGACAGTACAACCCTCAGTATTTTCACAACTTCTGAAAACATGGTATAGACAGTTCTTTGTTGGTAGGCGCTTCATGCAAGCATGTGTGCGTGTATGCCATATAAATGTTTGCGCGTATGTGTTTCTAATTCTGTGTGTGTACATGTGGTCGGGCAATACAAAGCATGCAGTTCCTGGACTACAGAAATTGAAACAACATAGATCATAGATCAGCCACTTTTACTCAACACCCATGAATCTTACCGACTGCCTCTTTTGGATTCAAGTTGGGTTGTTCTGGATACTGTCTCCCAGGTCCCAATTCCCCGGAAGAAGTGCATGACTTGGCAGCTGCTGCTCGGACTGGTGACTTGCCTTTATATGCGGCTGCGTTTCTACAAAAGGCATTCGAATCGTCCTACACAAAACTTTCATCACATCAAGTCATCTCAGTTGTGCATGTGTGCCTGCCATGCAGGCTTAGAATGGGTGGTTTGATCATATATGTTGTGATGGTGTCGCAAACTGCTTTTGTCCTTCCCTTGCTCCCTCTTCTTTTTTTTTCCTCTCTCTCTCTCTCTGTCTCTCTCTCTCTCTCTCTCTCTCCTCTCTCTCTCTCTCTCTTCCGTTCAACATGATTTTGAATGTTCATTTCTTTACATTGCTTGTGGAAAAGCATGTTCCTCCATGTCAGTGGTTTGGAACTGTTTGAGTGTCATGGATATCGCGGCAGGTGAGCGAAAGTCTCAGAAGATGCAAGTGCTGTTTGAACAGTGGATATCGGCCAGTGAAGACTGGTCTGAATCGACCTTGGTGATGTCCATGCGACACAGCCATACCCACACGAAGAGAGGCAGCCGTCGTTGGATGACGCGTACTGACCTGATGGAAAAGTATAAGGATGAGAGCATCGTTGACGAGATCATCGCTGAGAAGGAACGTGACAGTGGCACCAAGATTCACTGCTGCCGAGCACACCCTGACGCTCCGAACAACCCCAAGCTCAAGCAGTTTCTGTGCTATGATGAGGAGACAGAAGCGGACTCCGAAGATGTTGTGCTTAGCAGCTTGTTCGAATGCCGAGATTCGGGGAAGAACAGCAAGAAGGACAAGAAGCGAAAGAGAAGCACCTCTTCCTCGTCCTCAAGTTCATCCAGCAGTGCCAGTCAGGAAAGTTCCGATTCTGACTCAGGAGAGAAAAAGTCGAAAAAAAAGAAGAAGAGTAAGAAGTCAAAGAAGGGAAAGAAGGGCAAGAGCAGTAAGAACAAAGGAAAGAAAGACAAGAAGAAGAGCAAGGCAGAAAAGCTGAAAGACAAGGAAAGGCGTGACAAGCAAGAACTCAAAGATAAGGAACGAGCAGCCGAAAAGGAGGATCAAGACAATCGATCGAAGGCCAAGAAGGTGCTACTCTAGGTTGCCCATTCCAACTCCCACAGTACTTTCAATTTGTTTGCGCTTGCGTCACCTTAGCCCGATGTTCAGTGCATACATGCAGTTTTAATTCAGTTTTATTGTGCGCAATGTGGATCTCAAATGTGTGTGTGTGTGTGCATGTGTGTTGCATGCTATGCAAATATCAAAATTGAAGTCCCTGGGGTACGCATGTGGATCTCTAATCTCTATTTGGGAAAACGATATGGGATACGGTCAAAATTGTAGCGATTACTTCAGGACGCTTTGTGTGTGCACATGTCTTGCAGATTAAGCCGGGGCCCCATGAAAATCTGACCGCTCGCAGGTTCTGAATGCTTTGCAAAGCAGCATCAGCGATGCGGCCAAGCGAGAAGCCAAAGCAAAGAAGATGCATCTTACCTGGGTCGGTTGGTGGGTCTGGCGTTTTTCAATGGTTCAGATAATCTATCGATCTATGGTTTCCTCTCTTTTGGGGCTGAAACAAATTTAGAGATATATAGCCAGCATATAGATGCATAGGTATTGAAGCGGTGCGCCCCAAGCCCCTTGGAACCGTTCTTACGCATTTTGCTTTAGGGGCAATGGCCCAACTCAATTTGCTTTTATATTCATCACTTTAATCACTCTGGCTCCCAGTGTCAAACAGTGAACTCTCTTGATTGTCAACAGTAGTTTGTTTTTTGCAGAATGTCACCTGGGCGCTTGCCCACATACAATCCAAAAATAAAACTAGGTTTGATTACAACGAAATTTGAAATTGAATATGCCAGCACATGGCCGGGATCAGGTTACAGACCAACCCAGGGCCTCTTCTAACCCATCTTAATAATCAACATTGGAAGCATCAACGTCAAACCTCTAAAATTGATTCCGAATTTATTGGCCATGATAGCGATCTTTTTGTCCCTCAATATATTACCCTGCCTTCGTGAAATAAAAGGCCAGACATCACTTCAAACATATATTGTAATACCTAATTCATAGTATTGTATACATGTATATTTTTAAGATTAAGACCCCATTGGATTCACACCCACATTTTATTGCGGGCCAAACCAGCCATTCGTCCCAGGTCTCCAGGGATCCAGGAAGTCGTGCTGAAAGAGCTTGGCAGCCTCAAGTCGAAGATTGCTGAGAAGCGTGATGCGTTGCAAAGCATTATCGACGGTGACAAGGCCCACCCAATGAAGATTTTTACAGGGAAAGGGATGCGTTGAGATGATCAAGGTTTTAATGGGGTATATTACGTACCTGGGAGAGAATGACGTACAATAAGGTCTTTGGAAATTTGAATGTTTTCGAAATGATATTCAAACATCTGCTTGGTTTTCTTATGTTAAGTTCACATGACCTCAAAAAATATTGTGTCTTGACCCTGAGGTTGATCGAATGAAAGGTGCAGCTGAGGCAGGTGATGCTGCATTGAAATACTATAATGCCAACAAGCCCGCTGCCTAGGCGCTGCCCAAAATGTGGCACATGCTGCGATTTTGCCAATACTGGCGCTCAATCGCCGAACATCAATTCAATGTTCTGGGTGAAAGGTGTTGACCTTCAAGACATCACCAACTACTTTTGTTTCCGACCCGTTCAGCGATGATGAGGTGAACATATTTTGATTTGGGGGTTGCCACGTCATATTTGTTCCCTGCCAGACCGGCGCCTTTCAACAACATTAAGTGTGTCTTCATTGTTGCTCCTGAACATTTCATCAAACTCAAAAGACAGTGAGCATTTTTTTCTTGTTCAGCCGGCTGGCTTGCTTTGAGGGACGTGTCCTACCCAAAAGTTTACGGGGGTGCCTTGTGTATAACACAAGTGGGAACCTATGTTCTAAACATGGGCCAATCCAGGTCAACCGAGATGACTTAAGTCGGCTTCTTTGAAAGCCATGTCGGACTATCGTGACAAACCAGTGATGGAAAAAAACGTTGCCATGAGTGCTGCTTGCACCTTTGCCATGTGTGTCGACAGGGATTGTCAAAAGGATTTCCAATTGAGATACAAACCCTAATTAGTAGGTGCAAGTCTTACCCAGCCATTCCCATATCGATGGAACCCATCGCAGGCAGACGAGAAGCATCTGTGGCGGTCACCGCGATACAAAACGTTGCAGCTGGAGTACCTTGGCCATGCGACAGGCAGTCTAGCTGGAGAAATCTCTCATGACTCTCATGACTTAATCTGACAAATTGCATTTTTCGGGACAGAACGAATACAAATTAGTTAATCCCAAATAGCATGTCCTATGTATTGGGGTGATTGGTTTATGAATTCTTGGCGGGGTTACCATTGAAATATTCTTTGTTTGGGATGTGGATTAACACCAGCTGCCAAAAATATGGATCTTTTCTTTAACCCAAGATACCACCGTCACTCTTGCCGAAAAACAAATAATGCCTTGTACCATTTATATTTCCAAGATCAAATTTTACTATATATATTCTGTTGGCCCCATAATTTGTTAAATAAAAAAAGAACCGTATATATCCCCATCACTTTTCCAACAGTCACCACATACACTCCAGTGTAAATATGGTCATGCCGAGGCTTCCAGTGTCAATATGGCGATGAAACATATTGAGTCCCATGTGAAGGAGCTTGGTCTGGTGGGTATTGTGTTCACTTGCATTTACTTTCAAATTTGGTACCTTTGAACATCACTATTTTTTGGGTTTGCAGTTTCCACTTCTTGGTGCAGAATTTCTCAGGAGAGTGGTCCATCCAATTGCCATCAAACCAGCAGAAGATTAGGTACTTTTTCGAAGTGGAATAAGAGCCGAGACTTTTGGAGGTCAGTTTCTGCTGATGTACCAGTAGTTTCTTGGTCAAAATCGTTTATCTCAGCATGTACCACCGACGCTTTATGATTTTATTTTCCCAAACAAATCAATGCTTCATGATTCCAGCCTGAACATCCCATAAATAACCCGCAGTATACTTATATTATATTGAATAAATGCATTTGCTGTGAAGGTCAATGGAAATGATCTATCTGAGGAAACTTCCTATGTCAGGGCACCCATCAAAAATACAAAGACGCCTGAAGGGTTCGAAATGGTCAACCTAGAGGTTGTCGACCCACACCAGTTGGTCTCATACCTTTTCAATCAATGTGGCTTGCAGATTGATGGTGACAAGGTTCAAACATTCTGGCAGCATCACCGTGCTGTGAAATCCCCTTTCATGGACGTTTACACAGGGGGAGAGTCACACATTCCGCTGGGACTTTACGGGGATGGAGCGCGTGCACGACAAATTGCATACCAAGCGCCTGAGAAAGTGATTGGGCTCTTCCTCAACGTTCCATTGTTTAGACCAAAAAGTGCGAGGCATGCTCGGTACTTACTCTTCAGCATAGAAGAGGAGCTATGCTTTGGTCGCAAGACATTAAACGCGGTGTACAACAGACTGACATGGAGTTTAAACCATTTGTTCCATGGGAGATGGCCTACACATGGGCCACGAGGCGATCGGCTGACATCCCCAAAGGCAGGCAGTTTAATAACTCCTGATGGGAAGCAGTTTGCAGTGGTTGAGCATCGTGGTGACTGGAGTTTTATGAAGTGGGTGTTTGGATTGAAATCGAGCTGGAAGGCAGGTACCAATGCTCCTGTGTGCTATCAATGCAGAGCATATGGGAAGGGGCCCCTCAGTGAACGTTACTACCATGTGGGTGAGAATGCGCCGGCTTGGAGCACGGAGCACACCCTAGTCTCCTTTCTTGCAGAGGAGATGCCAGCGACAGATCCCTGTATCTCGACTGTCATCCCGTGCATGGTTCAGAGTTCAATCAAGGTTTTTTCTGCTTCAAAAAAATAGTTAGGAGTTATCCAGTTATCCTTGGTGCATATGTTTTGGTCTAGCGTCTGCGACATGGATTGGCCCAACACTTGCTTGAAAACTTGGAGTTGGGATTACTGAATCACTACTTCTCTGATAAGCTTTCGGTGTAAACGTTCGAACTGAAATTCCTAAACTTATGTTTCTGTCAGACATTGGTTGTGCTTTGTTGCAAATGATATCCCTGTGGGGTTGTTAAAAGATCGGATGAATGCAAATGACAAGGAAAGGAAGGAAAGGTTTCTGGTCATTGGTTCTCAATTTACGATTTTCTTGCAGGATCCAGCGAGGCAATACATTTCTGGTCATGGTGCTTCTATCGCAATGGGTGTGGTATCACATGGTGGGGCAATATTCAAAGTTTGATGGCTGTTTGGTGGAAATAATTTTGGGACTTCAAGGGACTGCTTTAAATTTACTATGATATAATTTACAAAAGATTCTCCATATAATGCCGCTGCATTTATACCCATCAAGAAATTTTGTGGGGCTGTGATTGGGCCTGCGTTCTGGTGAACATACAAAAGAATCTTGAAATGTACAATACGATGGTCAACCACCATTCCTTCAAGCAGTGGTAGTTTTCGTTGTGGTCCAGTAGGTAGTGCTGCTGTATTGGCTAGATTCTAGATATTCGATATGAGATATGCTTTTCTGTTAGTTTTTTCACTTTGTCCTGCAAACAAGGGTGGGGTGCAATGCCTGTGTATGTTCGTATGCGGCGTCCATCAATGATTTGGTCTGGGTTTCGCTTGCAGTTCTCAAGGGCGAATGGCCTTATAGATAAGATTCTTGGACTCGGCTGTTTTAAAATATCAGAAAATAAACATTAACAAAGTAATCCCAGCTCCTTAATATAAAGTACCACCATATGTGCGCAATAATGACCTTCAGAAGGCAAGTGCTATAACCCATTGTTCCATGTTAAAATGGGGAGGAAGGGTTGCACATATTTTAGAATTCCCAATGTAGGTTTACATGATTGCTGCGTCGAAACATGTTGGTTTTCACTGGACACTGTTCGTGTCGTTGCATAGATTGTTTTAAGATTGTTTTAGCTGAGGCCCTTTTATCTCGCTGGTGAATTTTCATCACGACCTTCTGAAGTTTTGTCAAATGCATGTGCTCAACCTTGGCCTGTTGTTCACAGCAAATGGCAGCAGCCTGTTACTTGACCAAGTTGGATGAGCCTATCATGTTCACAGAGAATGTTCGGGAGGATGGCATTTTTTTCAAGTTTCATTTCTTTCAGTAGGATGCACCGCTCACTTTGAGGATGACTCTCGTGGACTCCAACTATTTCCAAGTGGAGGAGGAGGGAGCGCCACTGCAACGGCATCTAGATGCCGCCTATAAGCATTTTCGGGCTTTTATCAAAATGAGAAAGATCCAATGCTCTCAGGGCCCCTTTCAAGAAAAGATGGAACCTTGGGTGTAATATCCTGCTTCATTTTTGCTTTCCATTTGAAATATTTATGCCTGCACCTGTAGGGGGTGACGTTCCTTGTGAATTTGCACCAAAAAATCAGCGATACTGGGGGGCGGGGATAGGGCTACTTTTGCTAGAGCCTGTGCAAGCTGCTCTGAGGTGTCGAAGTCAGGTGGTGAGGTGGTGTTCACCTTGAAGGCTTTTAACGGGAGAGTTGTCACCGAGTGGTTGAGCCACTGCCTGGGAGACATTGCATCCCGACCCCATGATGATGACAGAATTCCATTGACCTATGTGGCAATGATACTAGGTAGCAATACATTGGGATTGAGCTTAAGCCAGGGTTCAACCAGATAAATGGAATGCTCTGGTAGATCGCTAGGAAAAAGTTTGAACAAATAATCGACTTGCTGAGGAATGCATTGGCCAGATATTTTGGCATGTCTGAAAGGCTACCACGCTTTCTGAGCCTGGCCTGCATGTTTCCTTGGGTGAGGACAGGAGGGCAAGGCGGGGATACTTTGGATGGACGTGAGCAGTTGCTCACTGCATGCTTTCCAAAGAAATATTTGGATACTCCTTGTTATTTTCCCCAGAACATGGCATGCATGTTAGTGCATGCATTGTATGTGCCTATCTCCAAGAACATTTTCTTTTACCATTTGAGATGCTGCATATGTCACATTTCCATGGTTTAAACATGTTTGAGTTCAAATCTGTTTAAAGGGTTTTTGGGTGGGACCAAAATGTAGTGTCCATTTACGCTGCAATGTTGTTTCGCGCAGGTACTTGCACGTGGGAGCGTTTCCAAAAACAAACCAGGTAATCAGGCATAAAAGGTAGAGTGAAAGGTGTGGGCACAGCGCCTTATGAGTATAGAAGACTTCTCGGGGATGTGGATGACCTTTTTCTGAACCTTTGCTTCCTGCTCACTGCTTCTCTAAGGACGCAGTCAGAAGCAGATGCACTTCACAGAGAAGGGCTGCGATTTTGCCGTGCTCATTTGGTCCTTGCCGACATGAGCTTCAGGACCAAACGGGATATCCTGAATTCAACTAGGCTCTGCGTGCTTGTCTTGCATTTGTCAACTGGTGCGGTCCATGATTTTGGCTGTCCCTTGAAGGAAGGGCAAACTTCATTGGATCATTCGTCCAAAAATACACGCCTTTTGGCTGACAATTCCTTCACCTAGTAATCAGGTTCCTACATCATACTCACAGGACTATGGTAATAAATATATTATAATATATGCTTCAATTGCATCTCAGGCCTTTGGGCATTTGCTTAGAGATTGCAAACGCCGCAGCATCTTGGACCAACTGTCTTAGGAACCCATGTGCCCCTTATCTGTTATCCTAACCCCCAGCTTCTGAAGACCCAACCTCGGTGCCAAGGAACTAATGCCAGATTCACCCACTGCTTTGTGGATGAGGACAACATGGCTTGGTTGAAAAGACGCTGGGCGGATTTACTGCAAGTGGAATGTTGTGCAGCTATGCACTCACATTTGAAGTAGTGTCAGTAATGTGCCTCATTCCATTTTAGTTTGATTACATCTGCAGATCTGATGTTCCAAGACTAACGGCTTGCCAAACTGAGATGTCTACCTACGAGCTCCAATGAAGACCCGGCGAAGATGGATCTTGCGAACAAGCAAGTTAAGGATGGGACCCGGGCGACCCTATTATAAATATTTTGGTGTTCTAAGCTGATGTATTGCCACCTTCTAAGGGTTAGGGTTTTCCAGCCCATCCACTGTTGTCAGGCTGCTAACCACGAAATGGGCCATTCAAAGGCTACTCAATTTGCAATATAAGGCTTGCAACCAATTTAGTGCCAACTGTTTTACTTTTATTTTCTTGGGATATCCCAGTATGCCCGACAAACCAAGGTTGAATCGAGAAGCCCGACGGCGTGGTTGAGAGGTATATGATGATGTTTGGCAATGCTGTGGAACAAAAGGGCTGCTTTATGCCTAGCTTCACCCAAGATGGGGGAGGGGGTTACAGAGGAGGGCCTCCACTTCCATTCGCAAAGAATAGTCTTACGTGGAACGACTATAAAATAAATAGTCTTTGGACTTGCTGGGTATATACACACACACGCATGTCAACGAATTATATGGAAACATCTCTATACATAGCAAAATCCTATAGAACGTTCTTGTCAGTTCGTCCAATCAACATAGCCCGGACTTAAGCTCAGTTCGGCGTGTTGTGAGACTGCTCACCTCATGTACGTTGATGCGCATTTACCTCAGTGAATTCTATGGTTTATGGTAGATATATATGTACCATCTGGTTATTTAACATAGCCATGGAAAATAACCCATTTATAGATGGTTTACCTATTAAAAATGCTCCATCTATACCATGGCTATGTTACAGTAGTCAAAACCAGAGGGTAGATATCACGAACTAGCTATTGGGGTTAACCAAAAACACAGAGCGGTTGAGGCCATACATCTCGTCTTCTGGAAGTCCGTAACGGTTGGTTCCTCTCTGCAAAACTTTACCCATGGTGGATACCTCTATATTTATGATTATGATAATGATGATGGTTATTATTACTATTATATTATTGTTGCTGTTAATATTATTGTTTATACATATGTCTGGGTAAATCATGCTATTTCGCTAACCTAAGATTTTGGGCCATTTGGGGTGCGTTCCCTATTATTTCCGGAATCCTAATCAACATTCCAGTGAGGTTTCAGTGAGATAGTTATCATTTCATTTACCATCATTTACCCACATGTATGATTATACAGGCATATATTCTCAGAGTTCCCAAATATATGCATGGAAAAGAAGTTGAAATTTGGATGAGTCACCATAGAAAGGCAGGAAGAGCCAACCTCAGTGTCCCGACACCGTTAAAGCTCTGAGAGATGCAGCGTACAGGTCCTCAGGTCCTCTAACTGCTTGGTTTTGTGGGGCACACCGTCATGACTAGTGGTGACACATGGTGACACCCTTTGACATAATTTGACATTGGGTTGTATGATGTTGTATGTATGTAATTATGTTCCCGCGAGAAAGGACACCAAAAAGGCAGGATACCCCAAACCTTTGCCCCCTGACGCCCTCAATAAAGCCGGTCTTTTTGCACGCAAATCTCCAGTGCGTTGATATATCTTGACAGCATTGCCAGCTGATCGGAAGACTATGGAAGGCTCAGTTCTGGCAAATTGAATAATGCGATTGAGTATATCATAATTATATGCATATCGAATCCCATATCGAAGACAATGCACATATATATATATATATATATATAATTATATATATATATATAATTATATATATATGTGTGCACATTATATCCCAATATGTTTCATTGTTGACGTGTAATACACACTTCAGAATGGAATATCTATCGAACGACATGATTGCTGTGATGACTAGCCTGTGATGTCAATGCATCAGACTGGAAATGTCCTATGGAATCACAACAAGAAGAGATTATACAGTACAGTAGCAACCCCGAACAAAATCGATAAGTTGGAAATCTAAAACATATGGCAGAAACATGCGGAAACATGATCGAACCATCACCCTAGAAACACTGTTGTATCTTTCTGGGGTATGTTAAAATTTGAGCTGCATTGATTCAACTGCATGGTGTCAAATCAAGGAAAATCATCTAAAGAAGCGCGAGCTGTTGCTCAATTCCAGAGCTACAAGCACCAAAGCCTGGACCTCCCCATGTCACAAGTGATCCGTCTGCCAAGATGGCAGCAAAGGCGCCGTCTGAAGCTTGCACATTCAACACGCTCTGCAGTTGATCTTGGACTTCAGAGCTGTCACCACCATACTCCGGGCTGCCCCATGTGACCATGGATCTATCTGCTAAGATGGCAGCGAAGGCGTAGGTTGAAGAGCAAATATGCTGCACATTCCGTAGTTGCTCTTGAACATGCGAACTGTTCCCACCACCAGCTCCATCCCCCCATGTGACCACTGATCCATCTCTATTGATGGCCGCGAATGCAGCACCTGTGCCCTGAATCTGTTGAACCTTGGACAGTTGACTTTGCACTGCCGAAGCGTCACCGCCAAAAACAGGGCAGCCCCATGCAACCACTGAACCATCTCTCAGGATTGCTGAAAAGGCATATGAAGTGCCCTGAAGCTGCTGCACATTTCTGAGTTGATGCTGGACTGCAGAGCTGTCCCCCCCGCAGGATCGATCTCCCCATGTGACCACCGATCCATCTGCCAGGATCGCAGCGAATGCACGATCCGCGGCCTGAAGCGTTCGAACATCTTTGAGCTGATCTTGAACAGCGTGGCTGTCACCACCAGATTCAGCATTGCCCCAAGTAACCACTGAGCCGTCGGTCAAAATCGCAGCAAAGGCCCACTTTGTCGCTTGGATGTGCTTCACATTCCTCAGCAGTTTGCTGACTGAGCTATCGCCGCCAGCCTCGGAAGAGCCCCAGGTAACCACCGATCCATCTGTAATGGCAGCAAATGCTTTGGCGGTGGCTTGAAGTTGCTGGACATTCTTCAGCTCCTTGGATTGTGTTCTTTTTGTAAATAGATATATGATGCAGTTTTTGATTTTTTGTAATTTTCGCAAAATTTCTTGCCCCGTCACCTAAAGGCAATGTCGGTTATTTCGTGGCCTTAGTATATATACGGATCCGGTTCTTATTATCACCATTCTGCGTATTAGCACTATCATTGCTATCATTATGATTGTGATTAGTATCATATCATATGATTATTATGAATATGTATACACCAGAAAATTCCCCAAACACTAGAGATTGACAACAGGGACAGAGAAAACCTGCACAGCAACACCTTCAAGGTCCTCTTGCACCTTGGAGCTGTCACCACCAAAATCTGCCTTACCCCATGTGACAACGGAACCGTCTGCAAGGAGTGCAGCAAATGCACCTGAGGAGGCCTTGATCTGCTGAACACCGGACTGACCCAGCCGATTTTGGACTGCAGAGATGTCTCCCCCACACCTTGGGTTACCCCATGTGACAATCCTAAGACCACCACAGCACCACAGGGCAAAGGCCTTTTCAGTTGCGGCCATCTTTGGCTGCTGTGCAAGTGCTGTGAGGTTGTCACCCTCTTGAACACCTGCAGCTTCCAAGGAGTTCATGGGATCCAAAGGAAGCCCAGCGGCAGTGACAAGCTGCAGGAACCGCTGTCCCAACGAGTTCTGGGCCAACATTTTGAGATGCCCCACGGTGGAAGACAGTGGAACCTCAAGACTTTCCTTTTTACCACTTGGCAATGCTACATCTACGCGAAGCATCGGCAAATCACATACAAATTATGTTTCAGTAGCAGTGTCTTCAAAGAATCTCGAGCCAAAGTCAGCGCAATGGACTCCAACAATTCCACCAGGTCAGGTCTATAAGGTCTCGCAAGCAACCCGAAATCAAGGCATGTGATTTCAGGATTGGTTACCCCAAGTGATACTACCCATGTTTCATTCTTGTAGGGTCTTAAACTTTTATCCATTGCCACCATATGGCAATTGAGATTCCACCTCTGGATTTAATGCATGTAACGCTGATGAATGGTTGATGCTGGTGCCAAGACCCCCCAAAAAACTTGACCGCTGATTACAGACGACTCGAAGCTCCAGCGTTTTTTAGAGCCCAAAAAGTACCATTCATCTGACTGACTTTGATTCCCCCAAGATTACAGTAAAACATATCAATGACGTACCTTTACATACCAAAAATGATCGAGCTAGTAACCATTTTGTGGAGTGTCTCAGCATTCCTTGGAATAGGAGGTAAAGTTTGGCTATAATTACATTCAGCATCTTAGTATAACTGCACCCTCCATCCGAGTCAGCAAGTGGGTAATTAATAACCATCCCCAATAGAGGTTCATTGTTGGGTGTCCTCCTAGCAATGGGATGGGATGTTTTAGATAAGCATATTTAAAAGAAAGTCGCTATGTATAAACCCCCATCTCTGTAACATACGATGTGCTACTACCATACACAATGAGTCACTCTGGGTTATCAACCACTTGCAACAGCAGGTCTGCGCAAGCAATCCCAACCCACAAAAGCGGCACCAAGTGACGATGCGGAACGTGCAGAGGGTGGAGCAAGTCCAAAAGCAATCAGCCAAAAGTCAACCATAAAGCATGATGAATGTGGCTAATTATGAGAACTCAAATAAATACTCCAGATATCTCCAGATTGATCATCATTTCCGAATCATTTCCTCAAATAATCAAAGCTTGGGGGTTTTAATTCATTTTGAGGCATTGCCAGTGTGTACTTTCTCCTGTTTCTCCACCAATTCTGAGTCCGCTGTCTGAGTCTGAGCCAGATCGCGGTGTGAGAAATGGTTGCTTTGGTTGCTTTGGGCGCCATGGGAGTGTTTGCACTTTCCGGGTGTTTGAGGATGTTGGAAGGGTCCTAGTGAGTTTATATGAATTTGTTGCACAATTTTGCGCTCCTGACAAGGGAAGATGGAACTGATGGAACATGTTTTTTTGCCCAATGACATGCTTGGGCATGCTAGTTTGCAGGGGGTGTTACTTATGAAGGGACCTTTAGGGGCAACGGCATGGAGGTATTCCCTTGCCACCGACAATGACAATGCAAGGTGAGATGCAAATCTAAGTTCACATCATGTAACCACTCCAAGATGCGCCCTGCTGGGATTGCTGGGGACCCAAGCAGATAGAAGAAGAGCCCATCCTCAGTGACCTCCTTGATCGCTTGCAGACCTGACTCTGCCGAAAACGATGGACCATGAGCTACCCCGCAAACACTTTCCATCTATAGTAGGAATTACCATATATAGAGTATATGTGTATCACATATATAAATATATTATATTATATATACAATATATACATATATATATATGTTGTATTATACATACATACATGTGCATCATACAACCATAGCAGTGCCACTTTGCCCAAAGAAAGGGCAGTGCTTCGGGTTCCCCTGCTATGGCTTGTGTTGGCCCATCGACTCATCAAGCGAACGATGCCCACCGCCGTATGGACCTAGGTTTCAGCCGCTTCTTCAGAGCCCACTGATCACTGGGTGATCTGTGGTAGTTACGTTATACAATACCCATCTCACTATGCACTATGGAATACCCTCTGGTAATTTAACATAGCTATTGAAAATGGCCATTTATAGTGAGTTTTCCCATAAAAAATGGTGATTTTCCATAGTTATGTTAGTTTACCAGAGGGTATATCAATTCTATAAATTCTAATTCTATAATGTCTAATTTGATCCACTGGAATTGTGTTACTTCCCTTTTGTAGCCAAGGCTGGGAAATCCCTTACTCATGGAGTGAATGGACATATATAATTTATTCATATAGTCTATGAAGACTTCACCTGCCATGTTGGAATTCGGAGAGTAGCGAGTCATTTGCTAGTACTAAATTCCACATCTTCAGTATGAACATGATCTCCAAGTGGCAGAAGTAGGATAATCAGCTTACTGTAATTGGCTGGTGGTTTTAACCCCTCTGAATTCCATTTCTATGGTTGAACACAGAAAATAAAACATACGTATATATATATATATATAGGAAACCACCGACCAGTTTGATATTCTTCATGTTCAAGACCGAGCCATTACCTCTAAATATATAAATCGTTAGTGATATCCCACAATATCCCCCTGAAAATGTGAAATATACCCTACAAAATCCAGTAAAATCATATAAATGGCTTGAAATGGAGGATTTTCACTGATTTTCACAGATATTTCCCATAGAATTCTTCGATCCCCGCGACGCCAGCCGTTACGTTACGTTTTTACGTTTAGCCTTGCTTGGTTCCCACGCGTTGCTGTGCTGCGCCGAGAACCTGGGCTTGGAGCTTTCCTGGCTATCCTCTGGTTTTTTAACATAGCCATGGGAAATGGCCCATAGATGGTTTACCGAACTTAAAAATAGTGATTTTCCATGGCTATGTTAGTCATAACCAGATGGTAGACAATGGTGACTTACTGGTTGGTGGCTTTATCCGGGTCCGGGTGGTATCTAAATGATTCTAAATGTATCGAATATGAGGGGGAAGGGATTGTTACCCTCTAGTTATGACTAACAGTTTGCGACATAGAAAATTGCCATCGAAATTGTGGATTTACACTAAAGATGGTGATTTTCCATAGTTATGTAAAGGTTTACCAGAGGGTAGACAATGGTGACTTAGTATTCAATTCTAGACCATCTAATTCTAGAATTAGACTTAGTCACTTAGTATTGAAATTGAAAGCTAATCTTTTGACTTGGGAATACCCCCATTTTGGCAAACTGCTGGACTTGTTCAGGCCCAATTGATGGAAGGGTTAGCTGTGCACCAAAAAGGTGATGTTTTTCATGCACCCCAATAACCGTAAAGAAATGATGTTCATCCCACCAACATATGGTATGTCATAGATTTTGACCCCTACGGGTCAAACTGGTCAACCATTTCTGCAAATAGTTGTTGGGTTGTTCCAGAGACATGCAGAGACATGCAGAGACATGCAGAGACATGCAGAGACATGCAGAGACCAGGCTGAAGCAACCCATTTCCTCCCACTTCCAGTGATTCTATAGGATCTGGTTGGTGGTATACCTACCCCTTTGAAAAATATGACTTCGTCAGTTGGGATGATAACCATCGCGGCAATGGGTTTGTCCTCATGGTTGTTTCATCTGCCAGGACCTTGTTGCCCAGAATTCGCAAGATGCCCCACAGATTCGAGGTAATTTGGGTTGTGCCTCCCCAGCCGCGTGCTAAAAAGCTGCATGTGCTCCTCTGGCCGCATTGGCTGCCATGGTTCCGTGCAACTATTGCGGTTTGCCAGCCGCGATGGAGCGGTTTCCGCTGGTTTCCGCTCTTCCGCTCGCAAGTTGTGCTGGTAGGCAGCGGGCACACAAAGGCATTTGCACGGGGATCCATGGCCGCATCTTTCTTGAGCCAAAATGGCTACGGAATATATATATATATGAAAAATATGACTTCGTCAGTTGGGATGATGAAATTCCCAATATATGGAAAAATAAAAAATGTTCCAAACCACCAACCCAGGGATAAATCCACATGTCCGCTGGGTGGAATGACCCCTTGGTATTACTGGCTTCCTCCCTCCCCATTGTGGTCGATCTGTTTGATTGTTTCAACAACTCGGGAAAATCTACGAACCATTCTTCTGGATGATGTCTTTACCCCGAGATGAAAAACGATAATTGAAACCAGCTGAAACCATTTTGATCTAGATCCTTAACCCATACCCATTTCTTCTCTAGGCTTGGCTTACCGGAAAAGTGCCAGCTTTTTCACCCCCCAAAAAATTACGTTCAAAACCAATTTATCATTCCTGTATAGACTGGTTGGTGGTATACCTACCCCTCTGAAAAATGATGGAGTTCGTCAATGGGAAGGATGACATGCCATTTATGAAATGGAACATAAAATTCATGTTTGAAACCACCAATTCCAATGATATTTACCCATTAAAAATAGTGATGTTCCCATATGTTTTGTATGGAGCTACCAGAGGCTATTGCCAACCATTGCCGATCTTCACTGCAATGAGAATCAACCATCCGGAAAATGAGGTACCCCATGGTACCCCAAGGCTGCCACTGCAAGCGACTTGTCGACAATTAAGCCCATGAAAAGACCATAGATTGTGGATAAATTTCCTGATTTTTTATCCATCATTTTCAGACACACCCATGAAATACTATGATTGGCATGACTCATGCCAATCCCTATTTAATCCCTATTGAATTGGATCCCCAGTTTATCAACATCATATTGTTCGGGATTTATATACAATACATACCATTACATACATATATCCTCTATTATATTCCATCATGTTCCAGGAACCACGGACCCCATGAATTCACATCCAAGAGGCATGCGGCGACTGCGACGCTTCAAGAGTTCTTCCTCAGAGACCTGGTGAAAATCGACTGGAAGACTATGGAGATATTGTGGAAATGTGATGGAAATGTGTGGGTATCCATAGTTGTCACCTGCTTTTACTATCAATTTTGATGGGTTTTGAGAATCCCAATACGCTGAAAAGAAGAACTTTCCACATATATCACCAATTGACCCAGATCTATGGCAAAGTCTTCTTGTTTTCGACCAAAGAAATGCGGAGAACCTGCATCTCGGGTTCGTCGCTTTCTTTTCTCTTTTGCACCTGCAAAAGGGTCTGCTGAAACAGGGTGTGGCGCAACAACTGGCAGGATGTATTCCCATTTAATGAAATATATTTAAGTAGCAATAGACAATAATTAGATTCTAACATATTCTATCGATTTAGTCTTAAACAAAGTCCTACATGTCCTATCCAGATCTATCCAGATCTATCCAGTTGGTTGACCCAACTTCTTTGTCAACGTCACGTCATGTGATGGGCCGAATCTCCCCAGAGTCACATGGGTTTTTGGGGCCCAAAAAAAAACATGGTGAAATATACCCTCTGGTAAATTAACATAGACCCTGGCAGTCATCGGGGTTGGAAGACTAGTTTCCAATAAAAATTGGTGAAAATCTCAGGGTCGAACTGTTTATTTACCAGAGGGTAAGCCATTTATATGAATTTATGGTTCCACTGCACCCCCAATTTGGCGCAAATCAGAGACCTTTTTGGAGATAACACCGCTAAGCACCTTAGCACCGTGGGAAACATGTAATTACCGGATCACTGAGTTTTGGCAGCTAAAACAACGACTCAAGTCGTCAAGCAGTACTCATGTCACAATGTGTGTGGTCAACTGTCAGGCTATGTTGAACCAAGCAGTAGAACCCGAACCCTGAATGGGTGGTCAAATGCATGAGCGACCGTACAAGACTGAACGTCTTTATGGATCTACTGCGTATGTGGTTGTTTCTCAAAATGGGCGTCCCCAAAATACTCCCGAATTGGTCACTCTTAATCGGTAAATAAATTCTTTTTGGGTACACAAGGACTTCAACATGATGTGCCTGAACTCTGTGCCAAAATCCGCAATGCCAGGTTGTCAACAGTTTGGGCGGCCGGATTTGCGGGGATAGAAGTGTACGGGGATATATGGGGGGATTCGCCCTGCCCTCCTTCTAGCACTCTTGACAAGCCAAAGCAAGTTTGCTATCTTTTTCTTCCGTGGCGATGTCGGAGACAATCAGGATTCAAGTTTTGGATCGCTTGCCTCGCAAGACATGAAATCTCTGAAGGAATGAGTACGAACAGAAGCAGCCACCAAACAGAGTGTGTCGAGAATGAGGATTAAGAGACAAACGTGCTGCCGAATAGTTTCATTGATTTTCTGGCAACAAGTCTTTTCATAGGGCATGGATGGATGGAACTGAACAGCAAGTTCTGGATCAAAGTGATCCCCTCCGGACCTGAACGGCAAGCGTTAGATCCCAGTGTTCCCCAATGGACCCCAACAGGAAGCTCAGGATCAAAGTGAGTCCCTCTGGACCGCCACCGTATACTTTAGATCGCTATGTGTTCCCCGCCGGACCGTAGCCACAAAGAATTTCCGAAGATATACTATATATATATATAGATAGAATGGCAGAAAGGAAGTCAGAAGATATTTCAGATGATATGACAGATACATATGCCAGGAAAAATTTCGGAATATATGCCAGAAACTATTATGTCAGAATAGATGCTAGATAGAATGTCAGATAGAATGTCAAGGTACATGGCTGAAAGAATCTCAGATAACATGTAATAACGAATATACCATATATCCTTTTAGACGGTATGTCAGAAACTATGTCAGAATAGCGTTTGCCGATCGGGATTACTCGGTCGTAGTACTTCTTTTTGCGAAGGCCGCGCTTCATAGTTATTGATCTCTGACTTCACAAGCGCTAGAATATACCTTGAGTCAGTGGCAAGCGAAAACTTTACCCATGAATACCCATGATAAAAATAATGTTAGATATAATATAATGTCACAGAACCAGCCTGGATATTTCTGGATTATATATCTATAACAAGTCCATTCTGATTGGGGGCCATCACCTGGCTTCTGCACTATTTATGGGGCTTAGTCGGTCGTCGGTCATGAACATTTGGGGGTCGCTTAAGATGGGGCACCCAAACATAATCCAACACTAGCCATTGAATGTGGAGAGCAAAGGCGCTCTTCACCAGCTCTGCATCGTTCTGCTGCTCGGTGGAGAGCTTCAAGCCACTGGCGAGCAGCATGCGTGCCTGGGCTGATGCAGGCAAATCCAAGAGTTTGCGTGCTTTGCCCTGCCACTTCTCTCCACCAGTGTCTGCCTGCTCTGAAGACTCATGGCACCGCAAAAGAGTATTCAATGCTCCCTGTCGCAGCAGGCGAGCAAGAGGTGGTATGAAGCCCGGGGTCTCTTGCAAAGCCTTGTGAATGTAGTTCAAGTCTCCATCCACACTGGAACGCTCAAACTTTGCGAGCGCTCCTTCGAGAAGCTTTTCATTTCTTGCTTGCAACTTTTGCTCCTTCAAAGCGATCTTACTTTCCTTTTTTGCAACAGCCGCAGCCTTGGTGAACTTGGTCCTCACCATGTTCTTAAACAAGGTGCAAGGGCGAGATTGGTCCCGCACTGCTGCTAACGAGCCTGGAGCCTGCCTACTCGCTGCTCGGGCCCAAGTATCCACAATGTTGAGGAGAAGTCGAAAGCAAGAAGTGGCAACTAGCTAATGTCTGGTGCTAGCAATAGGTCGACTTGCAACAAGTAGCAGACAAATAATCGCACAAAAGAAGGCTGTGCTGTGGAACTGCTTGTGGCTCTTGACACAGATCCCACCTCCCTTTCCAGGTCCAGCCAAGACAAGGTGTATCACGCAATGCGAAACGCAGCAGTCACTCCACTGAGTTTCAAATGACTGACATGTTTGTCTCCAAAAAAAACTCTCCGATAAGTTCGTCGCACAGCAGTTTTGGCTTCTCCAGAGCCTTTAGCTGCACGTTGACTTCATGTTACTTCACACATAGTTGTGCAGTGTCATGCATCTTACAATATAAGGCTATTAATCTCGTGGCTCATGGGCCATAGAATCCAAAAATGCCTCAGGACAAAGTCCAAACGCGCTGCAATTGACATGAACCGCATGAACAACAACTTTGGAGCATCTGGCATTTAATTCTGATTGTGTATATATTGTCAGCAATTCTGAAAACATTGGTTTCACTGAAAACGCTTTACACCTTAATTCCAATCGAAATTGCCCTAGCTTAGGGGTTAACCCCCTTGTATTTTTGACACAAACCCCCACTTTAGCAACCCATCACCCACCATATCATTTTCCGGATGGGAATGAACCATCGATTTTGCATATTGTTTTGTGTACACTCTGGTTCTTCAACATGGCTATTCAAAAAATGGGCAATTTACAATCGTTTGTAGATAGATGATTTACCTATGAAGAATATGTATATATAATATACTAGTGATTTTCCATGGCAAACTACATCGAGGACGACAAGCAGCACCTTCCATTGGAACTGCTCCTGTGGCAGCCTGAGGAAAGAATCCAATGGGATCAGATATCATGAGGATATCATGGGGATATCATGGGGATATCATGGGGATGTGATTTGAAAAGAACTTGGTGACTTGGTGACTTGGTTGAACATGTCAATTTCAATGAACATTCATCCAGAATCCAGATTTGCCGCTGTGCTGCGTCCAAAAAGGTGATCCAAAGGCACTTCTCAACTGGGAGCATGGCCACCTCCCCATGTGTGATGCGTTCAAACGACCCCTGAAAGCCATGAATTGTCAAATGCCCACTGGGCAGGTTATCAATCATTGATAGCAAAAAATAACATGTCCAGCTGTTGCCGTTTGAAATTCTCACTCTCACAATTTGGCTGGTCAAATTAAATCATTTCGTTGATCAAAAAAACACCAGGTCAGACTGGTCCCCGCGAGCCAAGAAGCAGCACCACACAATTGCCCGCAATCTGGACCTCTTTCTTCCTGCACGGCTGGAAACCTGTGTTGGGTCATAAATGGCATACACAGCAACCCACGGTGTACCTACGGGGGGGCGTCAAAAACCTATGACATATATGATACCAAAATTGTTGGATAAACATCTAGCAGCTAATGTGATGGTCGTCCCCTGGCTTTGGTGTGTGAAATCTGGCTGCTGAGCTTCAGCCAAAGATAGGCAGGGCAAACTAAGATAACTAAGGCCTGATGATCCCATGCTTTCAGGCTTTCAGGATCAAATTGCCTGCAAATGCTGCTTCTTTCAACATGGGAAGGTTGCAAGCCTGGTTGCAAAAAGCTTGTTTTAGGCTGGCCTAGGTCCACAGAAAATGGGCGTGTATTACTTGTATAACGGTTTAACAGAACATGGTTTAACCTCTCAGAAAGTAGGGCACAGAACTTGGCACTCCCCACAAGTTCCCGAATACGACTTGACCGGTTGTCTGGTTGGTGGTGTATGTGCTTCTAACCTATCAAAAGAAAAGTCATCTCAAGCCATCCCAAGTATCGTTGAAAAACCAGCAATCAGGGCAATCAGTCTCTAATTATTTAGACATACCCACCCCATATGTCGCCTTTTATGGTACAATCACTCCGCGTCGGGTATTTGAAATGTCTGCTGATTGTCATGAACCAAAAACTTGTAAACTAGGTGTTTCATGGCGCTTTATTGGATGGGTTTTGGGGCAATGTTGCGGGAACCGTGGTTTCCATTCCATCTCCAATTATCACCCAACAATGCAGGGGCATGGCCGTCAAAATGAAGAGATCCACTACACGAGGGGGTCCGCGTGGTATCTGTATCTAATATGAGGGGGAAGGGATTGTTAATGTTGACTAGTTGACTCCGGGGTCAGTGGCGCTCCTCTCAAGCTTCGAGCAGTCCATGGCGAGCTTCACGTCAATCAACTTAGTGCCGGCCATGTTCGTCTTGGGGAGGTCATCCCAGGCAACTCAAATGCCTATGGGTCAAAACCCTGGTAGCCCTAACCTCAAAATAGCTGGTACATGGATGTTCGTCTCACCAAAATTGATAATAATAAAAATAAGAGGTTTGACCCACCCGCAAATGACTTTTGGACCCAGATGATGCAACCAAGAAGATATAGGAATTACATCGTATGGAGAATTAATGAGAAGTTTCTCAGGATAGTATATGAACATTACTATCCTAGATATCATGCAAAAGCTTTCTAGAAAAGCTATCTATCCTGGGTAGCAGGTATGACATATGTAGCAAAAGTAGCGGTGAAACTCTCACTGTTGATAATCATGTTCCCATCTTCCGAATGTCAATTGCACCACTACTTTGACGCCATAGGGCTATGGGGTCAAAATCTAAGACTCTGTCAGACTCTGTGGCACTGATTGATTTTGGTCATGGGTAGAAAATGAAAAAAAACAAACAGTAACAAACACAATTAACTGCAGTTTGTTGTTGCCTGATTCTACCAAACATTAAGACTCCATTAAGTCTATAGATTTAATGGACGATTTCGGCGATCAGCTCGTCACCGGTTTTTTCATGACGGATGTAGCTGTTGAAAGTTTGTTAGAGGGTACCCCTAAATCAACTGGTTGATCATAATTTGTCCCTTCCAAATCGCCAAATGAAAAATTGGGAGTGCCCCATTGATTCCCATTTTCAGATTCAATCCTGTCAGAGATCGAATCTCTTTCTACTATAGCCTTCTGCTGCAAGCAAATCTTCAAATTTCCAGAAGACAACTACCAAGTCCAGCTCTCTGATACATACACAGCTAATGTAGATAACAAATAGTAATTACCATTTTTTTAGGTCCCTTCCCCTACTTGCGCCCTTTGAAGGTAAAACAAGCGCTTTTGACATGGATGGACCATGGAACGGCTTTGCCAAAGACAACTACGACAGAGACCGAGTTTGATTGGTGATCAAAGTTAGATTTGATTGGCTTTTGGATAGTTTTGGTCACACGGTGTTTTATCATGTGTTATCCGATTTTGGGCTACCCTTGTTTCAAAGATATATGTGGTATGTGCAATCAGCTAAAGTGGGCCCAGTAGATTGTACTTGGTAAATATTCACCCATGATGATGCGCTGTGACATCATCAGAGATCCCAAAACAAACATCTTTCAAAGAATCCCACAGATGTCTCTATTGTTTCATGGGAGACGTGTGTCCAAAACAATGTCTCTAAGTTGATCCCAACAACCAGCACTAGTTATGTCATAAACAAATTCCACTCAATTTCAATGTTTGCTTTGGTGGGTTAACTCCCATGTTTCTGAAACGTGAATCCTCCAGATTTTTCGTGATGAACTCCACATATGGAGATGGGTCAAAACCTTGCACCCCTTCTGTTCACATCAAAATAGCTGGGATTTATGGATGTTCATCCCCCTAAAAATGGTATTTATAGGTATTGATCCATAGCCATATCTTTGACGAAAATCCCGTCCCTTCCGTCCCGGTGCGAACATCGAAATCAGAGGCGCTCCCGAGGCGCGACTCTGACCTGCAGGTTTTGTTTTTGGAGGGGAACGTACCGTTTGGTGATTGGACGTAGCGTTTTTTTTACGGAAAATCACCATGTTGGATAGGTGAATCATCATATTTAAATCCTCTATAAATGGACCATGTTCCGCTATGTTAGCCAGAGGATACACCGAATTTAAGGGACCAGTGTGTAAAATGGGAGTGTTCAATATGAACCGGGGATGGAATATGATGGAATTATCCACCGTATCTGATAGTTGATCCACCATGATCCACCTAGAAACATCGGGAGTCAATACTGGGATCATCCTTAAAATAATTTGGTAAAACCAATAATGTTAGCCTTCCCAGTATCATGTAACCATCCATTCGGCGTTCTTTAAATCATTCCAAATAGTATATATAGGGGGCATAGCCAATAAGAACCATATCAGAACAAAAAATTGGGGACAGTTCATTGTTGGGTTCCTCATCAGGACGGAAGATCAGAAAACATTTGACAACACCAAAAAATAGTTGTTTTTAAGGTATGTATGATGTGGAACTGTTCGGCAAAAAAACACATAACATCTGACAACGCCGATAGGCCAAGCAACTCAAAAAACATCCAAAAAAATGGCCAGTTTTGGGATTCGAGAACACCTTTTTTGCAAGAAAAATAGGTGAAATCGATAGCCAAAATAGGTCAGAAATATGTCAAAGTCTCATCGCTCCCCCGTTTCCCCAGTCACCTCGATCCCTGGCACCTCGGTGTAGGACATGGGTGGGCAAGGCAGGTAATGCCACTTCTTTGGAACCTCCGCTGCCACGAGGAAAATCATGGGATGAACTGGGATAAATTACATTCTGGTTGGTGGTGCAATTTCACATTCTTGAAACATGATGGAATTCGTCAATGGGAAGGATGACATCCCATATATGAAATGGAAAAGAACAAATGTTCCAACCACCAACCAGCATTAAATTACTATCCAACGTCACTCAACTGAAGTATTGGCCGCAGGAAAATCTATATGAATTGGAATGGTTACCATCAAGAGTTCCATATGTTCCATGAAAAATCGGTGAAGTCTTCAGGTTGCAGCTACCGGCGGTTACCGGGAATTTCTGGTGATGTTCTCATTGGGACCTTAGATACCCAACGCCGAATGGCGCCCGCTTATGACCTATTTATAGTTGGGTAACGTTGATTAAAAAATGTGGGCCCCCCCATAAGTTGGGCTATAACATGCTATAACCCCCATGAATACTAGAGTTATATAGTTGTAAGTATCGTAAGATGTAGCTATTGAAGTTATGTGCGCCAACTTTGATGATCTTGATTTGGGGCCTCATCTTGGATGATTTTTCCCCACTGGAGGTGGTGCCCCAGTGCCCCAGTTTCTTCGCAAAGCTGAACTTTGCAACTAACTATTTATAAAACTATATAGTGTTTATGGTTTATAATTAAATATATATATATGACATATATATAATATATTATATATATAATATATTATTTATATATATATAATAATATATATATATATAATTATATACAATATAAGTTAGATGGAAAATCAGTGTAACTTGCGTTTGTGGTAGATATATTTACAGTAATCATCCTGGAGTAGGTAACCGGTAGACTATGGACTTTTCTAAAAACCTCACTAGATTGGAGATATATTTGAACAAACAATATTCTATTTAACTTCACCCTCTGGTAAACTAACATAACTATGGAAAATCACCATGCTATTAATGGGTAAATCAACTATAAATGGGCAATTTTCAATAGCGAACTGTTAGTTTACCAGAGGGTATCTATTTTGAATGTTAATGAAGTGAATCCATTAGACCAACAAACACAACTGGCTGGGCCGCCCAGTACTGTTGCACCCCCTCGGCCTATCTCTAGGCTCTCAGGAGCACCATGGTTCTGCCCCGTCAATGACTCGTGCACCGAGTGACCTGGGGATCCCAAGGCACCAACGGGAAATCGGGGATTGGTTCAACGCAAAAAACCACGGGAAACCACCACTGGATGGTGGTTTTAATCATCTTGAGAAATATTAGTCAATGGGAAGGATTATCCCATATATTATGGAAAATAAAAAATGTTTGAAACCACCAACCAGCCATCGTATTACATCCCCATTCCATCCCTTGTCACGCCAAGAGACAGAGCGTGGTGGCTTCCAAATGGCTTTGGGATGAGACCTGCTTCGCCAGCAACTCCTCCAACCTGGGCCACTGGGACGGCCAAGCGAAAGGATCCGTAGATGGGAAGTATATGTGGAGTGTGTGGGAACATATGGGGGGGTCCATAGTCATGGGGGTACCCCCAAGCTCGCTGGATGGTTTGCTTCATGGAAAATACCATGAAAATTGATGATGAAATGGGGTAGCCCTATTTCAGGAAACCTCCATATGAAACAAATACTCCTGGGAAATACTGTGTATGGGAAATATATGTGTGAGGCGATTGCTTCCTTGTGTCTTTTTTGTTCGATGTTGCGATTTTCCCAAATGATCCGCTAGGTCACAACTGCCCATAGGTCATAGGTCCAACAGCCAAGAATCTGTCGGAAGCTTAGCAAATGCCTCAGCACGCCCTAGGTCCTGCAAGCATTTCATAACATTTTCACCTACTGACACTAGCTGAGAATAGTTCGCGCGTCATATGTGCTGGTGCACAGGTGAAAACCAGGTGAAAACCTGGACCATGCTGGAGAAAATAAACCCATCAACACAGCACCGCCCGTTACCATCCCAGCAGCTGAGGGGTTTTGAGTCACCTCCCCATGGTTGAGGATGACATCATTTCGACCGGAACATTTTGGGACCATATGGGGATTTCAATAAATGGGGATACCCCAAAATGGATGGTTTATAATGGAAAATCCTGTTAAAATTGAGGGGTACCTCCATATGGGGGTGTTTAGCATATGACGGAGGGGTTAGGATTAACACTCTAGCTGTGTAAACAGTTGCCCCTCCGCTGAGCTCCCCCGGCACTTCGGCCAACGTCACCCGCAACTGCCGCGGCTCCATACTCCGCAGGTTCTGTGCGGCCAGCCGCAACTGCCTCCCCAAGGACGGCTTGGACAGGAGGGATGCGATTGTATAGTGGGAATACCCCCTAAAAAACAAGATGGAAGCCACGAACCCGAATGTATTCACGTTCTTGGACTACGAGTGAAAACCTCTGCAATAGGAAAACGTTTTTTTTTCATACATCGTGGCCAATAATGTGCAGTGTCCCACGAACCTGAATGCCACGTAGAAGAGAAAAAAGGAGACAACAAGAAGGAGGAGAGAGGACAGGAGGAGGGATCTTCCGAGACCCGCTTGCCACGACATATGGAGAACACTCTTGGAAAAACAATCTTGGGAAGACACGCTTGGCAAGACACGCATGGAAAACATCGCTTGAAGACAGTATGGTGACGACATTCCTGAAAACACTCCTTGAAAAACTCTTGTGAGACACTATTGGCAGACACTCCTGCAAGACACTCTTCGAAGACACTCTTGGCAGACACTCCCCCTTCAAAGACACAAAAAGACACAACAAAAACACCAGCGCAACAAAATCACCAGCCCAACACAACGCAATCACCAACGCAACAGAGTCAACAGCACAACAAAATCACCTGCTCAAACATAGTCGCCAACGCAAACAACATCACCAGCGCAACAAAATCACCAGCGCAACAAAATCACCAGCACAACAACATCACCAGCGCAACGAAATCACCAGCCCAAACAAATCACTAGCACAAACAAAATCACCAGCGCAAACAAAATCAGCAGAAAAAAAATCACGAGCACAACAAAATCACCAGCGCAATGAAATCACTAGCACAACAACATCACTAGCACAACGAAAGCACCAGCGCAACGAAAGCACCAGCGCAACAACAACATCAGCAGCGCAATGAAATCACAACGAAATCACCAGCGCAACGAAATCACCATCGCAACAAAATCACCAGCGCAACATTTTAAACTCCACACATCTCCACACATCTCCACACATCTCCACACTCTACACTCCACACTCCACACTCCACCACACTCTACACTTTACACGCTCCACACTCCTCACTCCCACACTCCACACTCCACTATCCACTATTGCAGAAAAGTGTTCTGTGTGACTGCATATCCATGTGTTTCGACATCTGTGCCATTAACATACGTGTGAGCATTCGGGTTCGTGGGCTGCATCTTGGTATCAAACAGGTTGGAATGTCACAAAGTGCCACGCCTGCCACGCAAAACGACATGACAACCTGCTTGGAAACCTTCGAAAAGGAGAGGTTTTGCAGCTTCCCCCATAGACACGGCGATGCCACAGGAAAACCAGAGACTCGAGACGAGACACGTGGGCGCAGCAAAACGAGCATGTCGTGCGAGACTTGCGCCAATTTTGACACTCTCGACATGTTATCAAACAGGTTGGAATGTCACAAAGTGCCACGCCTGCCACGCAAAACGACATGACAACCTGCTTGGAAACCTTCGAAAAGGAGAGGTTTTGCAGCTTCCCCCATAGACACGGCGATGCCACAGGAAGACCAAAGACTCGAGACGAGACACGTGGGCGCAGCAAAACGAGCATGTCGTGCGAGACTTCCGCCAATTTTTACACTCTCGGCACGTTATCAAACAGGTTGGATTGTCACAAAGTGCAACGCCTGCCACGCAAAACGACATGACAACCTGCTTGGAAACCTTCAAAAAGGAGAGGTTTTGCAGCTTCCCCCAGAGACACGGCGACGCCACAGGAAAACCAGAGACTCGAGACGAGACAATTGGGCGCAGCAAAACGAGCATGTCGTGCGAGACTTGCGCCAATTTTGACACTCTCGACACGTTATCAAACATGTTGGAATGTCACAAAGTGCCACGCCTGCCACGCAAAACGATATGACAACCTGCTTGGAAACCTTCGCGAAGGAGAGGTTTTGCAGCTTCCCCCAGAGACACGGCGACGCCACAGGAAAACCAGAGACTCGAGACGAGACACCTGGGCGCAGCAAAACGAGCATGTCGTGCGAGACTTCCGCCCATTTTGACATTCTCTGACATTCTCTGACATTCTCGACACGTTATCAAACAGGTTGGAATGTCACAAAGTGCCACGCCTGCCACGCAAAACGACATGACAACCTGCTTGGAAACCTTCAAAAAGGAGAGGTTTTGCAGCTTCCCCCATAGACACGGCGATGCCACAGGAAAACCAGAGACTTGAGACGAGACACTTGGGCGCAGCAAAACGAGCATGTCGTGCGAGACTTGCGCCAATTTTGACATTCTCGACACCTTATCAAACAGGTTGGAATGTCACAAAGTGTCACGCCTGCCACGCAAAACGACATGACAACCTGCTTGGAAACCTTCGCAAAGGAGAGGTTTTGCAGCTTCCCCCAGAGACACGGCGACGCCACAGGAAAACCAGAGACTCGAGACGAGACACTTGGGCGCAGCAAAACGAGCATGTCGTGCGAGACTTCCGCCCATTTTGACATTCTCTGACATTCTCTGACATTCTCAACACGTTATCAAACAGGTTGGAATGTCACAAAGTGCCACGCCTGCCACGCAAAACGACATGACGACCTGCTTGGAAACCTTCAAAAAGGAGAGGTTTTGCAGCTTCCCCCATAGACACGGCGATGCCACAGGAAAACCAGAGACTCGAGACGAGACACTTGGGCGCAGCAAAACGAGCATGTCGTGCGAGACTTCCGCCCATTTTGACATTCTCTGACATTCTCTGACATTCTCGACACGTTATCAAACAGGTTGGAATGTCACAAAGTGCCACGCCTGCCACGCAAAACGACATGACAACCTGCTTGGAAACCTTCGAAAAGGAGAGGTTTTGCAGCTTCCCCCATAGACACGGAATTAACGACCCGATGAGACACTGGCGGCGAACAAGGGTCCAGCCCCCAGACCCCCAGACTATAAACGGGAACCCTTCGCTACGCATTCGGGAAAAACACACCCCCTAAATGATCCAAATATGTGGAAACTCCCTACTGTAAACCATCGTTTCTGGTCTGTTGAATTTCTATTGGGGGTTTGTATCCCAAAACCTGGATCAACCATGGAGATAGCGCGCGACCATCATAGTACTTGGGGTTACTAAGTGGGTTAGTTCTGGTTAGTTCAGTTATAACTGGACAAAGCCCACTTATCCTGGGATCTACGTATCAAAGGCGCTTTTTAGTGGGGTGAACCACCAGGTAAATCATGGCCCAAGGAAAAAAACTGGTGGATCGGTGGATCTGGTAATCTTGAACCAATGTTCATCATCATCACCACCTTCACCACCATCACCATCACACAGAAACATTCTGAAGCGCACGACAGAATCCTCTATTTTTTGCCATATATATCCTATGTATTTTTTTGTGTTTGCCTATTTCCAGGCACTCATTGGAAATCAGGGAAAATTCAAAAAAATCTACGGTAGGTGTATACACAAATAGCAAGCCCGATAGAAATTGCATTGGGTCATCCCACTAGGGTGGTTGGTGGCTCCCATCTGGTCCATTGGATGAAATCCCTTCCGGTGAAATCATATGTCAAATCCCTATGTGATTGGTACATATTGGCACAACACGTGAAATCACCTGATGTCTGGTGAAATCACAAGTTTTTTCCGGTAAATTCCTTTTTTTTTCGGACAAAACCCATGGATTTCATCGCAAAAAAGCTCCATTCACCGTCATCTGTCTTCTCCGGCCCCGTGCTCCGTGCCTCAAGGATTTGCATTCAAACTGATGCGCCACAAAGTGACTTGATTGGCACAGCTTGGAGCCTGGACGTCGATCTTTTGATACCTAGACCCTCCCAAAAATGTCGTTTAGCTATGGTGAATAGGTATACCCCATAGTTTCTTCTACTTTTTCAATCTTTTTCCCGTTTTGATGGGTACATTTCTGGAGGGCCTAGGTATAAAAGTCTCCTGAAATTTCAGAGTTTGCCTAGAAGTCATGGCCGATTTTCCTTTAAATTACCAGGCAAGCCTCTCAAAACTTGTTTACAGGGGCTTCCTATGATGTTAAATATATATATATATATGTAATATATATTAACATAAATATAATTAATTAATTAATTAATTAGATATAATGATAAAAATAGTAAACAATTAAATAATGATTGATTAAGATAGTCTTAATTCCAGTATTGGTAATTATTCTCTATATAAATATAGGTCATCCCCGGATACATAACGATAAATCTATATACTACAATTCAGCCCTATATTCTTCTGGTTGCTGAGGAGCTCATATCATATACCCGATGACGGCAACCTGGACCTGTCTCGGTGACTAAATGATTTTCAGCGTAGGGGGTGCAGTAGAACCAAATAATAGCTGGCTTATATTTAACAATAGTTGTAGGAGTTATATCATGTTATATCCCAACTGGTGGAGGTTTAAGTAGTTTATATCATTATTAATCATTATTATACCCAAAAATAACCCCAGTCCTGCACCGGTACGTAGAACATTGCATGACTCTGTCTGATCTTCCGAAATGGATGATTTGAGGACGCTGTTGCTACACTCCACCATCACCATGGTCAAATTTGGTATATGGCTCCAAAATCTTGGACCATCTGTTGAACCCATGGTGTTTTACCAAGAACCAGCGACGAAAATATGCAAATGCTGGTAGCATACCACTTGTTCTTGTGGGGGGTTGATGTTGCTTCTGATGGTTGGCCTGCAAACTATGAAGGCCAGCTTGGGGTACGGTCAAAGTAGGGCAATATCACCCACAGACCACCCTACCTCATCTGTACTGCCCAAAATCGTTACTCTGACAATCCACTGTTCAAAAAAATGCCCTGAAAATGAAATCCATTTCGGGGTAATTAATTTCTCAGTACTACGTACACATTATTTTTGGTGAGGTATATCTGTGAAGTCGCTATACTTGACCCAGATCCTTCAGGGTTGTCGGCGCCACCGCTCTTACCGAGCAGCAGTAGTAGGCAGACTTGCACTTGGTGCAGCAATAGGATTTTCCTGCGGAGGGGATAGATGAGCCATGAAGTTCGATGAAGCTCAAATAGTATAAGCACTGTGAGGCTCACTCGAAATTCAGAATCCACTCAGGGTTGTGTGGCAGTGAGTCAGCATTGTTGGGTTTCACGTAAACAATATTTTTGTATATCGCATTATATCACAGCATGTTTGTACACAGGTTTTGGATCCACCCTAAGTTCGACACAGATTAATTTGCATTGACTTCAATCTGCTTCATCTGTTTTCAACTCATCACTTCCAAACTCTGTTCAGACCAACCATCACAGAGGGTGTCCCCACTCTTGGATGTTGAATGAACTCGGATGTTTCCTCAGTGACCTTCCCCAATTTGTTGCGAACATCTACCAATCATCATTTGCGGAAGTTGTTTTCCTGTTTGACGACTATCCTCCAAGTAGTTTCATCTTACTGATCTTCATTTTTTCAAGTCCGAAGTCATCGAAAATCGTTTACAAGCGAAACATCAACCATTTGGTTTTTAATCCACTTGGTATCCTCATGTGGAAGTCGTTTTACAATCATCAACCACCAGCCGAAACAAAAAAAAAAAACATCGCCGCCGTTGAAACCCACAGTCCTTCATTGCCAGTGTAATCCAAGGATTCCACACGTCGGGTGCAAAATGCCGCGTTGCTACAGCGCCTCTCCTGCCAACGTGGCCCCGGTAAAAGATCCTATTATGCTCAAAAATGGTGCGAAATTCACATGTTTCTCTAATTGCGTGATTAGAGTAAGTTTCTTTTCAGGGCGAAAACATTTTTTCTATTCAAGGTTGCTATTTCGTTGGGATTTTCAATGAAGGCTAAGTGGGATAATGATCATTAGCCAAATTATTAAATAATGGCAAAATCGATTTGGTAGTTCAATAATCACATCTACGGCAAAACATCATAAAATAATGTTTTGGAAGTGTTACAGACAGTGGATGATAGCCGCCGGATTGGTTGTAACATGTTTCAATCGGTCAACCAGTGATTGTTTTCCCCTTGGAAACGGTAAATAGCCGTTCTTGAGTATTTTTATAGCCAAAACATGCCAAAACTTCAAATGTTAGTTTGAAACGGGGTGCCATATTTGCAAACAAACCCTTGTAGACATTGGCTGGATGCCGGCCTTGTCCCACTGTCTACCTGAGTTTTTCAGCTAGAGAGTTTCAACGACTCATGAAAGGTCAACATTTGAGGCCGTTGGATTGTTATTTTTTGTTTATTAAGACAAATTCATGTATTTGTTTTTAATAATTGGATTAATCATCGGGTTATTAATTGGAGACGTTACCGAGCCTCCAAATTTATTGGTCGTCGTGAACCCCAATACAACCATCATTTGTTGGACGCCATCCCTGCATTTGGTGATTGTTTCCGTGTCTCATTGGCTATGGCTAAATGACCCATTATTTCCGTTTTTCAAACAAACATGAACCCCTACGAAAGCGACAACAAGAACAACAACAACAAAAAAGGTAGAAGAAGTAGTAGTAGTAGCAGTAGTAGCAGTAGTAGTAGTAGTAGTACTAGTAGTAGTAGTAGTAGTAGTAGTAGTAGTAGTGGTAGGAGTAGTAGGAGAAGGAGCAGGAGAAGGAGAAGGAGAAGGAGTAGTAGTAGTAGTAGCAGCAGTAGTAGTAGTAGGAGAAGGAGCAGGAGTAGGAGAACGAGAAGGAGAAGGAGTAGGAGAAGGAGAAGGAGAAGGAGTAGGAGTAGCAGTTGCAGTAGCAGTAGAGTAATAGTGGCAGTATTGGTAGGTTCCAATCAACCCCCAGCTTGTCCCAGCAATCAGTAGTTCTACCTCCAGTCCTATCTGGCAGGCCATCATCATTGGAGGCGATGTCAGTCTTGTCAGTCTCCACTGTTTGTTCTGATGTAACAACTGGCCAGTCGACCCAATACGAATGGTTCATCGTTGGGAGTACGGCAAAACTACCAGGTAACTACCATGAACCATGAACCAAAGGAACCCCCGAACCATATTATGTTGTAAAAAAAACACGTTGGCAACACGTATAATTGAAATATCGCACGGACTAACCAATCTTAGCTGCTGTCAAAAAAAACATTTTGTTCTAAAGAAACCAGCGGCGCAAATTATGGCAAAACATATCCCAGAAATAAACCCAGCTTTGCAACCCAAGAGCAGGTTCCCAGGTGTTACCGTGCCCGATGAGGTCGTATCATGAATCATTCCAACTGGTGGCAACTACCTCACGATGTTCAGAAGCTATACATACTCCCCAGAATATCCTAGAATCCTTTTGATAATCTGGATGTATAAATTAGACTAACTGACTCACCAACCTGAAAAAATCGTTTTTTGGTACCCCTATTTAAACATGCATAGTAGATACATATATATATATGTGTGTGTATACATATATATATATATATGTAGTATATCTATATATGTATACGCATATATTTTACAAATACGTATATCATCGATTGTTCAAGTGACGTTGCAATGTGAGGCCGTTATAATCTATTCAATTCATATTCCTGTTAAATTCCTCTCTATATAATACACATATATATATATATATACAAATAACATCAAATAACAAATATGATCTGGGCATGTTTGTGGCTATTGTTGGAGTATTGCCATACCATGATGCCCCAGACCCATCATGTCCCCCTTCCATTCAACCGGATGAGGACCTCTGCATCCCATGACAACGAGGGATGCCCCGTGCCACACAACTGCCAAGAGAGACAGAGGGGAAATGGGGGAAATGGTCACGTGGAGTCTGTCCCAAACTGTTTTGGAAAAATTGGGTCGAGAGATGTCGAGAGTTGTCTTGAAATTGATGAAGCATGTTGTTGGATTTGGGATGCCACCATTCGTGAACATATGAAAAATATAAAGACGTAATTGCCAAAATGAAAAACAAGTGTTCGAACGGCAGGGAACGAATCCATGCAACTCAACCCATAGCAAGTTTGAATCATAGTGATGAAACTCACAAGGGTTGGCTCAAACGCAGCGTGTATAGGACCAGGGATTTGAGGTATTGTTCCAAATTTGTGAGTTTCCAAGGTGTTTTTTGGGATGGCCGGCGATGGGATATGCACAGCAAGGAACCGCAATTTCTTCTCGGCCGATCATGGAAACAATAAGGGTTAAACAAAATGTCCCAAAAAGGGTAACTGTACATACCCCAATGAGGCGAAATCACGTGTTCCCAATTAGTTTTAGAAGAGACCACAAAGAAACGTTGATGGCGGGGAAAACTGGGAGCCACAAATTCTCGGAACATGTTTCTCCTTTTTTTGGCCTTCACAAAGTAAACTGACACAACGGTTAGCCTAAGAACCTGTCCAGCTGTGTCCCCAGGGCCTCATTTGGCTCCAACGTTATTCACACAGAAACTGTTCAACCACCGCAAGGAAAATAGCGGCAACATGGTGGAAAAACAAACCTTTGCTTCATTTCGGGTTTTCCGGCGGCCATTGGAATAACAGCAAGCACCAGTAATTATGACGAAAACAAAGAATAACCCATGTACAATACCTGCACTTTGCCAACGTGGTTCCGGCGCCAAGTTCCGGCCATGACATGACTAGACTGTATGAACTCGAACTTCGAGTGCGCAGCAGACCTCCATCAAACACTCACTATAATTTTCCAATGTGAATTTTGAAGGGGATTGTGCCCGTGGAATATGTTCAAAAGGTTTGCTTGCCACTTGGGAACCATGTGCAATCCCCCGGGCATGTTTTGAACGTTCGGCGCTGCCACACCTTCCGCAGTCGAAGGACACGGCAGCCCAAGGCTTTCGCCTGCGCCCGCACACTGAAACTGCAGGCCAATTTGGCATGACGTTGCGTTGTTGTAGTTGAATGCTGGGAAGCACGCTTAAGAACCACTGAGCCAGAAACCTGCTAGCCAAAAAAAGGGGCTCTGACAGCCACCGCTTTGAAGCCGATTGCCAACCAAGGTGCGCATCCATGCGGGCGCCACTTGCGCAGTTGTGCCGTCTTTTGGGTGGCCTTTGCAGACTAAAACAATGATGGTCCTGTCCAGCCTTTGTCACAGCACTTTGCAGCCCTGCCAGTTGTCTGTATAGATTTGCCAATCAATGACTGATAAAGTCGTGGAAAACTCGGTCCCTGTGTCTAAAATTGAAACGTCAGCTCCCCGGGGTATCGCACCGCCCTTTGTGTATAAGGTCAGGATCCATCTGCTTGGTTGGAGTCTGATGTAGCACACGAATTAGGTGGCTGCAAGCTACATGAGCCCACTGTGCATGTGGGCTGTCAGGGATCTAGCTTGCAGGTAACCAACATTCGTATAAATTCTTTCAATGTATGGCCAAAGTGTCAGAGAATATCATTCTTAATTCCCAATTCAACCCTACTTGTGGCACAATAGCCATAGATTCATCTCAATTTTGAATACTAAAGTTACTAAAGTTACTAAAGGATGGCTTACGAATATTGTGATTAGTTCTTGTAGGCAAGTCGGCTTGCTGGGACCGGTTCAAGCGCCATTTGGGGTCAAATGTGGTATACGGTGGTGCACGGTAGGCAATTCCAAGAAATTGTTGTTTGCTTCCTGTTATCCCCACCATGGCAGGCATCCGTTTCGCATATATTTTCACATTCTATCTGACATTTTATCCATAGTTTTCAACATCCTATTTGACATTCATTTTGTGTGACATGTATTCTGGCATATTATCTGACAGTTTATCTGACATTCAATTTAGCCGTCTATCTCGCTGTCTATCTGCATTCTACCTGGTCCGGCGCAGTTCAGAGAGCTCTCTGTTGGTCGGGTGCTGGCGTGGGATGTTTTGTGAAAAGATGTTAACATTGTAGAGACCCTCACATGGCAGGTGGCAAAAATTGTAGTTGCTAAGCCCGGGGAAATGACATGAAATGATGATAAACCATGATAATTACATCAAATGATGACAAACCATGAAAATTACATTAAATGATGACAAACCATGAAAATTACATTAATGATGACAAACCACGAAAAATTACATCAAATGATGACAAGCCATGATAATTACATCAAATGATGACAAACCATGAAAATTACATCAAATGATGACAGGCCATGATAATTACATCAAATGATGACAAACCATCTTAGTTACAGCTTGAGTTTTGTACAAGAATTCACTGTATAAGAATTTGAGGGGCTCGAATCCAAGGCGGGCTGATTTTTTCAGCTATACCAAGCACATAATACTTCAAGAATTTGAGGGACCCTGGAATAGGATTGCCAAATTCTTAAATTACTGCTTATATGTGAGGTTTGCAATTCCCCTTTGCGGTTCATGTTTTTTGCGGTGTGACCCCTTATGGTCTTATGGGATGAAATCGGGCTTTGCAGAAAAACAATTTTTCAAGCTCCGAAAAAATGTTTTTTTCGCACATGCTTGGACTGCTTCCAAACCACGCAAAATCTATATGTGGATAGACTTGGGGACCTGAAACATTGTTTTCCCCAATAACTTGAAGAAAGCTGAGGCTTTTCAGAAAAACAACTTTTCAAGCTCCGAAAAAATTGTTTCTTTTCGCACGTTGGACTGCGTCCAATCCCAAAATCTATATATGGATAGACTTGGGGACCTGAAACCGGGCCTTGCAACAACTCTGACGAGTTGCGCGCGCGGTGTGATTGTGAAAGGCAGACTACAGGAAACCAAGAAAACGACAGATTGACAGACCCTTTTAGATGCACACAGAGTATGCCACCAAGATTTGATCCTCCAACCTTCAAGCCTGAGATCCAACACTTTGACCATTATGCTACAAGAACCCTTGCATGTCCTTCCAATATTCCGAGCTGAAGCTGTGGTTCTTGAGCATGAGACGCATAGGAAGGCCCAGTTGGAGGTTCCGCTTCGAACCTAGGTCGCTCCAGAGATTCAGATCGTAACTGAAGTGCAGGATCTCGTAGCTCAAACCCACATCAAGAATCGGAGAGAAAAGCAGCGCCATGTAGTGGCGTTTGACACCCACCACGTCTGCTGGCGGTTCTGCCTCTTCATCTTCCTCCAGCAGTGGTGCGTCGAGCCTTTCTGCCAGTGTGCTTCGATGCGCAGCTTTTGCCTGACGGGTTGTGCTTTGCAACCTGGCCCAAGTCAAACATTGTTTTCTCTGCGTGAACAGATGCGGCCACAGCACGCACTCGAGGCCTTCCTTCTCGATGTATCGCAGCCATCGCTTTGCAGCTTTGTCGTCGGGCCTAGGGTGCTTTTCCATGCTCTTGCCGCAATTCACCAAAAGCTGGCTGTTCCTGCTCTGGGCCGCTGTTCTCCCGCAGCCACTCGAGGGCAGCCTCTGCCACAATTCTTTCTGCGGGAAAAAGGCCTGCAACGCGATCTTCGATGCTTCTGCAATGCCATGAAAAGGTTACCATGCTCGAGTGGAAACGATAGCCATTGCCTCGTCCGAACTGATCCTTCGATTCTAGCAGTGGGCCAAAGTTGGCTTGCACAGGACAAATCGCTTCCAGGATGCTACGAGTCAGCCCCTGCGGCAAAAGATGCAGGTTGACTTGCTCGCCCATGGCGACAGAATCTTGCGCATGCCCGCAGGTGTGAGATCTCTGGGCTGAATTGCAGGCACCACAGATTTGCCAGCTATTGAACTCGCAGCAGAGCTGCAGGTTGACGGTCTGTCGGGTCTGTTGTGCTTTTGGCAAGGGATCACGGTTGCTGACGTCTGCGTTGCGCTCCAGGCGGTCATGTGGCACCTTCATCATATTCAATGCTTTCTGCCGGTCTGCTACCACTCGCGTGCGATACGCACGTTCGCTGGCGCCAGGGTCGCCAATTAGCTTCCTGCAGGGGCTATCTAAGCGGTTTCAATTGCAAGCATGTTCAGAAATCACCGCCAGTCTGCCTTTCTGGTTTCTCATGGCCTTTTCTATTTTTTTGTGCAAATATGTGAGCATATCGATGTATATTCATATCGGTATGTTTTCTCCTTATGATTCTTCTGTTTCCCTCGTTTCGTTCTCTTGGCTATGCTTTGCACGAAATCGACGTCAGATCTTTATTGGAACATCGTGCTCGCTGATGCCATCAGGGACCACAATCCACCAAAGCATGCTCAGTCAGCTACGCCTGCCCTCTTCTAGTCGCTGCTTCTGCCAATGTAATTAAATATATCCCATCTTTCTAGTCGCCATTTCATCAGCTGCGTCTCGCTGCGGAAAAAATATGTCCTCTCTGTCAATTTTTTTTCACCAATAAATGTGCATAATAGCATTGTTTGGTTCTCCGTTTTGGCGTTGTGCAACAGTCCTTTCTGCCAGCACTGCTGCCCGCATGGCTTCACCACGTTGGTAAAGCTCTTGCAGTTCTTGATCTGTGTAGGGGTCGGTTCTACTAGTCATGGTGTGTAGATGATGTGCCATCCTGCGTGCATCCACCTCCGGGTTGGCACCATGCTGCTGCACGCCCGTGGCCTGCAGCCAGTTCCTGAACCCTAGGTTTTGGACTCGACTCAGTGCTAGTTCACGCGCCTCCCGATGAAGTCTTGAAAAACGTTTCTTGACTGCGACGCTATCAGCTTGCTGGAGAAAAGCGGAATTCAGACGTGGTATGTCACAGAAAAGACGTGCGGTTGGGCTTTCTTGCCGCCTTCCCCAAAAATACAAACGTGGCCAGGCAGCCCTTGGCAGTATTTATATCGCGCTGCCTGGCACATGAGCATTGACCCCGGTCGTGCGGCGGTCGTGAGTGATGCACGTACTCTGTTCGCATGTCCTCTGATTGCCTTCTATTGACCAGGAGACCACGTATTCGTTAACACAAGCTGACAACAACATTATACAACGCCCGACACAACTGTCTTTCAAACATGCTGTTGCAGTGCATTATCTTTGGATCTACGCAAGCGTTCCAACAGTTATAGCATCAGTACTGGTTTTAATGCAGCATAAACACAGCGCGCAACCGGTCACATTTCCAATGCCTGATCAGTACCTGGTAGTGCTGCTACCTGCAACAGGGCTCGAGAAAAAGGCACGAACTGTCAATGCTTAATGTTATATGATCATGATCGATGCCTGTCCAAAGCACAAGGCACTGCATACAAATGCAAACATATTGCAAAGCTACTAGACAATATCCTGCGAGGAGGCCTCTGCTGTCCTCGTCGCTTCCTGCCACGTTGCCGAAAGAAGTCTGAATTCCTCATACTTGCAACATCAGTCCGTCTCTTTGTAGAACACAAATCTGGCTTGGATGTTCTGATTAGTAACTGGGAAATTTCTTTGCCTGGGTTGGAAGTTTCTTCAAAATGGCTTATTCTATATGTATATGCATGTATTCATTCAAAAAGTAACTTCAAGTATTACAGGTATTGTAACATGGAAGTTTCTTTCGCCTGGGGTTGAAGCTTCTGTCAGAATATCATGATTTTTATGCATGTGTATTTACGCCATGTGCACAGTCATCGTGTGTGTGTGTGCACCCTTGTGGGTATGTCTCGTTGGGGTTTCGTCTGTAACATGGACGATTCTTTGGTTGGGTTGGAAGTTTCCTCAAGGCTGTAGCTTCTATCTAAATATCTGTATATCTGTTTTGGATTCCAAAATGCAAGATTCAAGCTTTGAGGCTGAATTGAATGCAAAAGCTGCCGCATGCCAAGTTTGAAAACTGCGTCTGTGCCCACTGCGAACGCATTTCCTTGGTACCCAATTTTGCGGTTTGCCTCGTCTGATACTCTGCTTTTCCGTCTGTTTTTGGCTGCAGGCTCCTGGAACGGAGCTGGGCTCTGTTAAAGCCTGTTGGAACTTCAACGTTCCAGGTGCAAAGACATCTCTTCTAGAACTGCATAGAAACAAGAAATACTTCGCACTACAGCTTCCAATGTACCACACAAATAGCATCCTCAATGAGTGCATTTGCCAGTGCTTCGGCAAAAGCCGCTCCATCTTCTATGTCAACCGTGTGCACCGTTTTTTCTTATGGCTGTTTTCTGACGCCATACATGCCAGGATGGTTACGCTGGATGCAAAAAGAAGTTCTGTTTGTAACTTAGAAGTTTCTTTGCATGGGTTGGAAGCTCTTTCCAACTATATCTTCTATCTGGATATACGTATGTCTGTTCTGTGTTTCCATGCATGCTGCTTTCTGACCATTGAATCGAGCATGTGATGCAAACCCTGCCAAATGCCGCATTCAAAAATGTTCCAACAACATTCAAAAAATCTGCAACAACTGCACTGCATTGCCTGCGAGGTCCACCTGTGAAACTAACATGCAGTGAGCACCGTTTACGTCTGCGATCTGAACGCGTGTTCTGCAACCAGACATGTGCAATGACGGTTTGCTCTGCCTTGGTCAGTTTCACGCTCTCGCGTCTCTTTTTTTTCCTGTTACCGTCACGGCAAGCCGAGAGAGCGCCGCACGCGCATGTGCATTGCAAGCAGCAGCATCTACTGTAGCGGTGTCTTTTTGCATCTCTTCAAGCAACTCGCCTCACCAAAAGGGCAGGAGCCCACTGAGCCCACACCGATTAATGATGCAGTATTCCACATGGAGAAGATACCGCCACCGAAGTGCAGCCATCGGAGTGAGAAGTCTGGATTCCCGAGCTTGCAAAAATGTCTGTATGTGTGCCATGCCTATTTCAGGGTCGCAAGCGCAGTAACAAATTAAATCCAAAACAATTTGACCCATTTGGGCGTGCCGCAACTGCTTGATGCGCGGGTCCGCGCGGAGCAGCCATTGTAGAACCTCTACTGTATCCAGTGCAATCCGTGTATCAAAGATGCCTAGTAAGAAGGCACGCAGAAAAACTTGTAGCGGAAGCATTTCAATCTGAGTCCCGGCATCAATCCCTTCTGTCCTGCGTTTCCAGACCCGTCGAAAATAATGCGTGCCGTAAAAATGCTCAAAAAGGGTTGAACGAAAGAACTGTATGCTGCCTGGCGGTCTGTGTTGCCATTTGCCTCGTTCGATCTCGTGGCTCCGACAAAGTTCGACTCAGCACGCAAGCTACTAGTAGAGTCGAAGGTTTCGTCCCGAAAACACATGCTGCAAGCTGGATGTTTCAGAACAGTCACGCTATGCTTGTTGCTGGCTGAACTCTTCTCTGACATTGTGGCAAAAAAACTCTTTTCAACAAAGTCTGCAGAAGTTTCACTTCGGCGGGGCCTCCTCGTTTGCGTGGCCGTGTCTGTCCTGCAATCAAATGAGATGTCATTCAGATTATGTAATTTGATTCACATGATCGAGTTCAAACATCTTTCTCTAATACAATTCTCTGTGATTCGACTCACGAAAGACTGCCATCTCAGTGCCTTCTGACGGGAGAGGCGGACGCAGATGGCCTGAGTCACGATGCAAAAACACAGTCACACTCTTGGCATTTGGTTCGGGCCGCGTGAGAAGCGAGCTGAAAATGTACACTGAGGTCAGTGAGGTCGGGATGTGTCTTCAGCATCGCACCAACGCGCTCGGCGTGCCTGTGCCATTTTGCAGCCTCTGCACGGCCATCTTGTCACAAATAGTGCATTACCAGCTCTGTTCACTTCTGCTCGTTTGCACCAGTGTTGTACCAGGCCCCTCAATAAACCCAAGCAGCTTCACTGCAGTGGATTCATATTGTCATCGGCACAACAGGATCAAGGCATCTGCCGCCTTTGCGCAACTGATCAAGTCCATTAGGGGTTGTCCGAAAAAAGATGCGTGCACATTCGAAAGGTATAGGCACATATATTCATATATTCATCTATCTATATATTCCAAATCTCGTGTGTTTGAAACCTTTGAACCTCAAGGTCTTGGCATGTTGACAACACAGCCACTCCGAACAACCACCAACGATGCACCAGGCGCAGCTGCCCTTGCTATAGTCGATGTGCAACCGCTTCGGTCTTTGCAGCCCCCGTGCAACTGTTCAAGGCCATTAGGGGTTATCAGCAGAAAACTGTGTATCCATTTGTATATATATATATAATATATATACACAGATGTATAGCAGCATCTCAACCGGGGTCATGACAAACTTGTATGGTATCGAGTTTTATACTGGCTTCCTAACGGAACGCGACTCCAAACAGGGCCTCAAACAACCCCCAATGATGCACGGGACAAGACTGCTAGTCACCTGCCCTGACTGCAGGTGCTGAAGGCTGCCAGTCAGATGTTGCCACCTTTGGCAAGCTTCTGCCACACTTGCGCAACTGTTCAGGTTCAGTAGGGGTTATCCGCAAAAAGATGCCCGCATATTCTATAGGTATACATCTGGCACACACAGACAGACACACCTACATGTACATATATCTATATATATATATTTGTCTGTGCTTCCTGCAGTGCTGAAACCGTTGAAACTTATGGTAACGAAATTGACAGAAAAAAAGTCACTTTGAAGAACCCCCAACGATGCGCCAGGCGCGGCCGCCCTTGCAAGTGCTCAGGTATCTGCAGCCGCCGTGCAACTGTTCAAGGCCATAAGGGATTATCAGCAGAAGGATGTACATCTATCTACTTGTATGTGTCTATATATATATAAATATATATATAGCGACATCTCAACAGGTGTATCTTAACAGGCAAACATCTATGATATCGGGGCTCACGCTAGTTTGCTCCTGAACAGGTTGTCAAGACATCGCCTCTAATAATCCCCCATGATGCACAGGCAAAAACTGCCATCCACTTTGCTGCCATGCTAGTTCTGCCACTTAAAAAAAAAAAACTTGCACTATGTCCCAAAGGGGTGGCTTGGTCGACCATCACTTGCAGACAACTTCTGGTGACTACGCCGCCGGCCTCAGACCTTTCAGTCCTCGTCCACTGTGAAGGCGGCAGTGGACTCGACAATGTCCGCCTCTTCCTCGTCTGTGCCTTCACCGCTCGGTTCTTCTAGGTCTTCGACCTCCTCCTTGACTTCTGCTTCGGCGTCTGCTGTGTAGGCCAGGTGCGTTTCCAGGTGCGCGCAAGCTAGCGCGCTGCAAAGCGCGAGAAGAACGCCGAGGTCATTTTTCCATGCTGGGCTTTTCTGCGCCCGGTATTTCTCTGGGGAATTCAGTTTCAGCAACGCCCGGAGCGTCACTGGCACGGCCGCAAGCAACTCCTCCATGTCTGCAGCCTTCGGGTTGGGCGTCCAGCAAATCTTGTCCAACAGTGTGACCATCAGTGCCACGTCCGCCATACTCGTCATGCGACGCAGAACTGCGCCCTGGTGCTCAAAGAGCGCTGCTTCCACATTCTTGTCCACCTCATCCTTCTTCAGTGCAGCAATGAGGTCATCCGTCGCCTGGTTGCGAAGATCGTCTGGCAGTTTCTCACTTTGGTACATTGCCACGAACACTCCATACGAGATGAGGGACTCGTCGGCCTTGAGTTTGTCGTGCTTGAGGTTCTGCAGGTAAACCATTGCTGCTTCTGCCCTCGTCTGCGTCTCCCTGCTTGGGTCCTGCGTCGCCGCCT